GTTGATCATCCTCTGGTCTGCTGACGACCTGTCTGCCGCTTCTGGCACCTAATCCCCACAGCGCAGTTTTACCATGGTCTCGCCTCGACCATTCGGCAGGTCAACGTTCGATCCGGGTTACATCCGGACGAGTGGTGATATAATTCCGCATACTGTGCATCAATTATTTGAAAGGACAGTCCTTGCATGACATTAGCCGATGATCGGTCGTTCAGTTCTCGAAGAGCCTCTGAGAGGATATATCCCATCTTGACATGGAGCCTATCACAGCCGATCTATCTCAGAGTTGCTGGTTAACAGGATTCGAGGCTTTGAGCACGACCGTGACACACCGAGAGTACACCGTGCTTCGACCGATGACCCAAATACCTCCGGTCCCGGAGTTCATCAACATGAGGTGCGCCCATGTCAGAAAGTCAAACAGCGCCGTCCGGGGCAGTAGCGATACAGCAATATGATACACGAGTACCGGAGCAGAAAGTCGAAAAAGGACGAGGGCACTCAAAGGGCACTATCTCGATCCGATCTTGAGGGAACGGTCCCGTGATCGTGGCGCGTCAGTGGCTGCCGCACTCTCGCCTGCAAGACTCAGGGCGTTCATTTGCTTTTGTAACGACCATCACCGCGCCGCGATGCGTCTCAAGGATGTATCAACTGTTGTTGAAGGTAGACTTCGCACCGCGAGTGGGAATGAGATGAGAGGATGATATTAGAGGGCTCAGAGCGAGCCCTATATATACTACGTAGACACATTTCCACTCGTGTACACTAGGTGGCGAAACAAAGCGGCGAGGCGAAAGGAAACAAAGTGTCGGCTAAGGCCCGACAAAGCGAAAGGTCCAAACGACCGTCCAAGTGGCGGTCGCGTCAAAGCGATGTAGGCAACGCGTGGCGCGAGCGGCGACGCTTGCCTCTCGTTCGTGCAAAGCGCGAACTCCAACACTCCCCTCAAGCTAGCAGCGAGTGCAGCTCCCCCTAAGACCGTAGGACCCCGAGTTGGGTAGTGAGACCATGGTGACGATCGCGTGCGAGTCCTTTTGTGAACAGGTCGGCGGAGTTGACTTCAGTGGGGCAATAGGATAAGGAGACGGTATCAGCGAGGATGCATTCGCGGATGAAGTGGTGACGGATATCGATGTGTTTCGAGCGCGAATGATTCACGTTGTCCTTCGAGAGCGCAATCGCTGACTAATTGTCTGCGTTGATAGGTGTGGGTCCGTCTTGCGAGAAGGTGAGTTCGGCAAGTAGTGCGCGGAGCCAGATGGCATGGCGTGTTGTATATGAGATTGCCATGTACTCAGCTTCCATGGTCGAAAGGGCGACCGTGGTCTGCTTCTTTGAGCTCCAAGCCACGACACCGTTTCCTACGAGGAAAGCGTAGCCTGATATTGATCGCCGGTCGTCTGGGTTCGCACCCCAGTCTGCGTCCGAGTATCCCTCGAGTCGGAAGTTTCGGAAGAAACCTTTGACGTTCAGGTCGTCGTTCGAGCCACCGTAAGTGATTGCGAAGTTCTGCGTGCCCTTGAGGTAGCGTAGGACGTGTTTCGTGGCCGTCCAGTGGGTTTCATTCGGGCGTGAGTTGTACTGCGAGAGGGTCTGCACGGCGTAGCTGATATCTGGGCGGGTTCCAAGTGCCGCGTACATGAGGCTGCCGATGAGAGCCTGATATGGCTTGTCTTTCATTTCTGAGGTGGAGGTGTCGTCGGTAGTCTTCGTCAGTTTGACGTGAGGGTCAAGTGGTGTCGTGACGACCTTGCAGTCAGTCATGCCAAAGCGCTTGAGCACTGTCTGCACGTATTGGTGCTGCGAAATGGTAAGAGTGTGGGCTGTGCGGTCCCGCGCGATTTCGTAGCCGAGGAAGTGTCGCATTGGTCCAACGTCTTTGAGATCGAAGTTCCGTTTGAGCTCTTCTTTGAGCTTCTTCATGTCTTCTATGGAATCCGCGAGGAGGGCCATGTCGTCAACGTGTATGCCGATGATGGTGAGCCTGTCATCCTTGTCGCATCGGATGTAGACGCAGGGGTCGGAATGGAGGCGCTTGAAGCCAAGCGAGAGCAGGGCGTCATTGAGTTTGATGTTCCAGACACGTCCGGCCTGCTTCAGTCCATAGATCGCGCCGAGCATGTACATACCGCGGCCTGACCCATCGTCGAACCCTTCTGGTTGCTCCATCCAAATCTCCTCTTCCAGCTTCCCATTCAGGTACGCACCCACGACATCCATCTGTTCAAGTTCCATGTTGCGCTTCGCGGCGATGGCGAGTAGGACACGGATAGAGTCGGTGCGGATGACGGGTGCGAAAGTCTCGAGGTAGTCCATGCCGGGTATCTGCGCAAATCCTTTCGCGACGAGCCTGGCCTTGAACTCGACGACTTCTCCTTGCTCGTTTCGCTTCAGGCGGAAGACCCACTTGCTTCCTAAGGGTTTGCGCCCGGCAGGTACTTCGCGTAGCTCGTAAACCCCAAGTCGTTGGAATTGGCCCATCTCGCGTTTCATTGCGGCTTCCCATTGTGGCCAGTAGTCGCTTGCTCTTGCTTCTTCGACGGTGTGAGGTTCAGAGAGCATTTCGGTACCAGCGAGTGTGAGTAAGCACAGATGGTGTGAGAGTTCGGCGTCGGCTTCAGTGTCGTCCTCTACGGTGACCTTCGGGGGTCGCCTCGGAGCGCCGGTGTGCAGCTGCCGGTAGTCCGTCGGAGGTTTGTCAGCGAGTCTGGAGCTGGTCCTGGGCGATGCGATCTTGGTCTCGATCGGGGCGCTCTTCTTCGGCGTCTCCGGTCCCTCGGTCTTCTTCGCCATCTCCCCCTGCTCTCCCTGTCCCGCAGTCTTCGTCGTCTCCCCCTGCTCCGTAGTCGACTCGTTCATCCCACTCTCCCCTCGAGTCGCGTAGGGGCAGACTCTATCAGGTCTAGCTCATCTCCATCGTCCGGCTCCCCTTCCACTTCGAAGATCAAATTCCGTGATTTCCCAATCGCGCCGGTTCGAGGATTGTAGTAGCGCCAAGCCTTGCTGCCTTCCGCAACCCCGATGAAGATCATTGACTCTGACTTCGGGTCGAGTTTCGTGCGTTTTTGCTTGTCGGTGAGTACCCAGCATCTCGTCCCGAATTCCTGCAGGTTTGCAACGTCTGGCTTCTTGCCAGTGACGACCTCCTCCGGGGTCTTGTCTCCAAGCGCGCGCGTAGGTGAGCGGTTCTTCAGATAACACGCGTACTGAACGGCGTCCTTCCACAACTTCTTTGGCAGGTCATGTGCATGCAACATTGCTCGGGCACGCTCCACAAGTGTGCGGTTGATGCGCTCGGCAATCCCGTTCTGGGCAGGCGAGTCGGGGGCGGTGGTCTCCAGTGTGATGCCGTTCTCGGTGAGGTAAGCATCAAATTCCTTGCTTAGGTATTCGCCGCCATTGTCCACTCGAAGTGTCTTTAGTTCGACATTGAATAGGGTCTTCATCATTGAGCGGTACACTTTGAACTTCGCCAGTGCTTCGGACTTGTTCCGCATTGGGTAGGTGACTGTCCGTCGTCCCTTGAGATCTGTGTACGAGACGTAGTAGAGTTGACCTCCAATTGCTGCGGTTCGGGCAGGTCCCCAGACGTCGGAGGCAGTGACATCGCCAACCGCTTCAATTTCGGTGAGTGACTCCTTCGGGAATGCCTCGACGTGCTGCTTTGACTCTACGCAGATCTTGCACTGTTCGGCGGTTGGTCCGGACTCATCAAGTTCTAGGCCGGAGACCATGTCCTTGCGCTTCAATGTCAAGATCGCACGCGGATGCATATGGCCAAAGATCCGGTGCCACTTAGCAAGTGACTTCTTCTGCTTGGGTCGCACCGGTGCTGCCAGGTGAGCGTGTGCTTCCTTTTCGGGACTGATAGCCATGCGGTACAGATAGCGGGAGATTCGGCTGCCGCGTAGAAAGGTGCGTCCCTTCTTGTCCTTCGCAGCTAGTTCCCCATCGCTGATCTCGATCTTGTTCCCGCCCGCTTCAAGACGTCCGAGGGAGACCAAGTTGTGCGGAATAGCAGGTGCGTGAACGACGTCCTTGAGGGTTATGGTCTTCTGCTGACCATCTATGTCCGCAATCATCCTGATTGTTCCTCGACCTAGGACCGTCGTCGACCCGGCACCATTCAACGTCGCACCCGGCGTGGTGCGATAGTCCGAGAAGTGCTCGCGACAGCGCGCCACATGCACCGTCGTGCCTGTATCGCCAAGCCAGTCATCGGCATCCAGAGCTGCAAGCGCTAGGTCGCCCTCCTGGTGCGACTCGATGTCCGTGGCCACAAATGCATAGTCCTCTGACTCCGAGTCGGACTCCGTTGTGTCTGCCACCATCGCCTTGCCCCCGCTCTTGCCATCCTTCGACTTCTGCTCGGTACGTTCCTGCTCTTTCCTCTTTCGTGTTCCTTCGTGGTCTGGGCAATCTGACTGATAGCCGGGCTTTCCGCACTTCCAGCACGAGGGTAGGGTCCGCTTGCCCTTGCCCTTCGACCTCTGGAACTTGCCATGTAAAGCTGTTTCCTCGGCGCGACTCTTTACACGCCGATCTTCGTCCAGGATGCGAGCAATCAACTCCGCGGAGTCCTTCAAGCCCTTCTGATAGTCGAGCGTCGCAGTGAAGGTATTCCAGGACTCCGGAAGTGCGGTAAGGATCGAGATGCAGAACTCTTCGTCCGAGACCGTTTGCTGAAGCGTCAGCAGGTCATCCCGGTAACCCGTCATCTGTCGAATGAACTCTTCGACGTCTTGGTCTTCGGTGCACACCGCGCGGAACATCTTGCGGCGTGCTTGGACGATCGCGAGGACGCCCTGCGCCTCGTACATCGTCTCCAGCTTCTTCCACGCGTCGTGACTTGTCTGGGCGGCCTTCACGTAGATCAAGATCTTGTCGGCCACCCTTAGTCGTATCGCGGTGAGTGCTCGTCGATCCTTCGATCTCCATTCTTTAATCGTCTTCTCTATCTCGGCTTTTGCTTCCGCCGTCGTGTCCGGCTTGGCGGCGACGGGCAGGAAGCTCGCCCGAGACATAATCCCAGAGATCCGCGTCATCGAGGATGTCCGACAGGCGAACTTCCAGGTCTGCCAATTCTCGGCGCCGGTCAGGGCCTCGATCTTGAAACGGAGTGCATCGGTCATAGTGGGAGGATGTGGAGGGCGAGTTCAAAATGAAGCAGAGATTCTCGGGGTTCAATAAGGTGCGTCGTCGTCGTCAGAGCGAGGCGGGGCTCATAACCTGTTGTTGAGGTAGACTTCGCACCGCGAGTGGGAATGAGATGAGAGGATGATTAGAGGGCTCAGAGCGAGCCCTATATATACTACGTAGACACATTTCCACTCGTGTACACTAGGTGGCGAAACAAGCGGCGAGGCGAAAGGAAACAAAGTGTCGGCTAAGGCCCGACAAGCGAAAGGTCCAAACGACCGTCCAAGTGGCGGTCGCGTCAAAGCGATGTAGGCAACGCGTGGCGCGAGCGGCGACGCTTGCCTCTCGTTCGTGCAAAGCGCGAACTCCACATCAACCTCTGTCATTAATTCAGCAGCTATTTGACAGCATAATCCACCTTTGCGGCGATGAAGTTGTGCTAGAGGTGAGCCGTGACAACTCTGCAAGCAATCAAGCAATAGCTTCTGCCAATGACCCAATACTTGGGCTAATACTGATGCGCTATATAATCAGGAAATTCTAAGATTTATGATGCCGTCAGGACAGGAATCATTGTGAAAACAAGTGCGGGTCCCGGGTGCGAGTGTCCATGGCAGGATGCCCGAAGGTCAATCGCGTGAGGTATGTACATCGAAATCTACGGTATGTATGCCTGACCCCTCTCCCCTATATTCTACAAGCGCAATCCTTGCCCAGCTTGCGAGCTCCTTTTCAGAATGGTGGAACAACAAGGGAAGGTCGGTCGGCGAGCGCCAGTATCATAGGCATGCGAACATAATAACCAATATCAGACTACGAGAGATTCCACTTAGTGCGTATTTCGTCCACCAGCTGTTACAGTCGACTTGACCCGTTGCCATCATTGTATTGAATATGCTTTCGCTACATAGTAGTATTGGCCGCAGGCATACCACCACTGTACCAGCTCCAGGATGCGGACCGTTGGAGTCGAGCACGATCTGTCAGTACATTCTCATTATTCTCATCTCATCTGCTCATACGAACGGGTAAAGCTTGGCACTGTCATGCTGCATGAACTTGCGAGTTCTTCAGACTATGTAATAACTTGCATTGCCCTGCGTCTCTTCAATCGGGGCACCGCAGGTTCATGAAACCGAATCGAACTGGAAATGAGCGCCGAGCCGCCCGGCTCGGGATTCTCACCACCACCTGACAGTGAGCGCACCACTGTCAGAGGCAGCACGCGATGCTGGGGCGTCTGCAGGGTGTTCTAGGTTCGTTTCTTGCGACCTTCTTTCATTCCACCCTAATTGTCTCCTGGACCGCCACCCCAACTATCAAACCTCGGGACTTGCTCGGGACCCCCACTTCTGCGACGCTCTCGCTGCTGGACAATACCCAGTTGTTCGATCCTGGTGGTGGATTCGTCGCTCGCCGGTCATTTCAGTCGCCACAGTACCTTACTCGATACGCGTCATCAAACGACGGCCATCTCATTGCATCGGCTTTGTCTTGTTATCTCGGACGTTGTTTCCGCGTCGCTATTCGCCTAAATTATGGTAGGTTGGCCGTCTCAAAGCTATCCTCGCTCTTCCTCTGTCGAATCCGCCATGGCCACCCCTACTCTCCGCCGTACCCATAGAAGACACACTGCGGACGAAGAGCCCACTCCACGCTTTAGCAACATGTGCACCTCAGTGCTCGGTTCTCCCTTCCTCACCACGTCCGACCTGCCTCCTGAATCCAACGGTCCTCGCGCGTCGACCTCTACCAGCGCAGCGTTCACGCTGGCGTACTCCAACATCGAGATGGAGCCCGTCGATGGCGCAGATGTCTCTGTCCCTCGCGATCTGACCGTCACGCGCCCGCCATCGCCCTCACCGAGCTTCCGCACGGACACGTACTCTGTTATCAGCTGGAACGCGGACAGTTATCCGTACCCTTACATGGAGAACACGCCGCTCTGCGGGCCTTCCGGCCGCCGCACTGTCAACGGATACTACCCGTACGCCTCGACCTACTATCCGAACGGCAGCGGTGCGTCACCCATGAAGCCATCGCGCAGCCTCTCGCTGGGCATCATACCGCGCATCTGGGACGCCCTCCGGGAAGGATCCCCTGGGCGGAAGGGCAAACGTCGCCCCGGTCTGCCCACTACATCAATCTGGCGCTACGGCAGCGTCACGGACAGCGAGTACATCGATTACCTGAATCTGCCGCCGCTGGATGGCGAGGAGGGCGAGCTGATTGATGACGAGGCATGCTTCATCGACGCTACGCGGATCACTGGTACTGGTGAGTCCCTTCACTCCATGGTCCGGCTGTGCTCGCAGTGGATGTCCTTGCTGGCTCCTGCACGAACACCGCCAAATCCAACCACTGCCACGTGCCCGATGCATTACCGACGTCTTTAATGATCTGCTCGCCCTTGCGACGACGTGCTCTTCCGGGACCGTCCTCTTCATTTCGTGCATTCATTCATTTCGGTAGCGAGCTGGTCTAAAACTGACCACGCCCCGGATGTGTCCACGTACTGACTGTCGTCATCGCCTTCTCTAGATATCGTAGGTCTGCTGCCTCCAGAGATCGCGCTCCACCTCTTGTCATTCCTTGACCTGCAAGCTGTGCTTGCGTGCCTCCGCGTCAGCAGGTACGTGCACGCACCGCCTGCCGCTGCCGTGCCATCCTGATGTGCTCTACAGGACGTGGAACCGCCTCTGCCGAGACAACTCCATCTGGCGCTCGCAGTTTGTACGGCGCCAGCCAGATGGCTGGGACGTTGACCTCCGGCGGGCACCCCCGGCGCCTTTGTCTGCGTCAAAATCGTGGCTTCCGGCGCCGCTAGAGCTGGAGTGGTACGAGATGTGCCGGACGAGGGCGGAACTGGACCGACGGTGGAGTGCGAGCGAGGGGGCCGACGGCGCACCCGCTTGGGAGCCCAAGGCGAAGCGGCTCAGCGGGCACATGGACAGCGTCTACTGTCTGGAGTTCGACTCGAGGAGGATCGTCACCGGCTCGCGGGACCGCACGATCAAGGTGTGGAGTCTGACGACGGGGCGCTGTCTGGCGACCTTCACCGGCCATCGGGGGAGCGTTCTCTGTCTCAAGTTTGACAAGGACTGGGACTTCCCGACAGGGGAAGAGGATGAGTGGGAGGACGGGAGTGAGTGGAAGCATGGCTTCATGGTGAGCGGCTCGAGCGACTGCTCCGTGTGCGTGTGGGATCTCTGTACGCGTTCACCGGTGGCTGGCGAGGATGGCCAGGTGAAGGCAGAGATTGCGGCGGTGTTGAGGGGCCACACTGGCGGTGTCCTGGACCTGAGGATCGACTCAAGATGGATCGTAAGCTGGTAAGCGCTCTACCACTACCCTCCCTTGCAAGCCGCTCAAGTTCTGTTCAGCTCGAAGGATGCACTGATCCGTGTCTGGGACCGCCGCACACTGCAGCTGCACTGCACATTCCGTGGCCACGAGGGCCCTGTGAACGCAGTCGGGCTGCAGGACAACAAGGTCGCGAGCGCGAGTGGAGACGGGAGAATGATGCTGTGGGACATCATCTCTGGAGAGCGACTGCGCACGTTTGAGGGGCACGACCGCGGCCTTGCTTGCATCGAGTTCAAGGACGACTACATCATCTCCGGCTCGAACGACTGCAAGATCAAAGTGTGGCAGGCGTCGACGGGCGCGTGCCTGCGCACGCTCGCTGGACATGACCTGCTGGTGCGCGCGCTGTCGTTCGACCCGAGGAGCGGACTACTAGTGAGCGCCAGCTACGACAAGACGGTGAAGGTGTGGGATTGGCGGACAGGGAAGATGTTGCGCGAGTTCCGCAACTGCCACAACAGCCATATATTCGACGTGAAGTTTGATTTCCGCCGTATTGTGAGGTGAGTCAAGTCTGAGGTTCCTTCGTACGCGCAGTGTTGCTGATGGCCGGCGTGTTCAGCACTTCGCATGACCAAAAGATCATTGTACTCGACTTCGCTGAAGGTCTGGACGTCTCAATGTTTGTGTGAACGACGTATGAACGAATACCCTCCGATTGCATGACTCCTCCGAAAAGCCCGTATTTATGTATCGACTATCATCTCTAGCTCTGCCTGGTTGCGACGCCCACCCCGCGACTGCCGATCGTTTCATTTTACACCTGTTGTGTATTCCTGTCGTTTTATTCTCGTACATATTCATTTGTTCCGCCTTGCATTCGCTTTCTGCATATACCCCCGCTTTCTTGGACCTCGCACATATCTAGTGTACATACATCGAAGTTCTGAGTCGCATAGTCGCCGTTGTATCATCACATGTATATTATTCACTAGCTGCAGAAGCACATCCCGGCAAAACACGCAACGTCCTGAATCAATACAAGTGTGTGTATCTTTGATACATAGTCGAGACTGCAGCACTGCACGCGGGTCTAGCAAGAGCTCTACGGAAACACAGGAGGTATCTACGCACTCGCCCTCGCCGCCATCTTCTGCTTGAGCTTGTTCTGTACGATAGTGATGTCAGTAGCGATCTAATGTTCCCTGGCCTCGTACGCTTCACTCACGTTCACGGAATCCATGTACACGTCTGTGACGACCCAGTGTTCGCGCTTCATCTCCTTCCCATGAATCGCGAGCGCAAGGTCCTTCGTCATCACACCGTCGATGTCGATGACCTCCACGCAGGCCTTCTCGAGGTCCTCGCAGAACGCCTTCAGGCTCGCGTTCCCGTCGAGGGTCGCGCGGTGCTTGAGGCCGCGCGTCCACGCGAAGATGGACGCGACGGGGTTCGTCGACGTCTCGTTGCCCTTCTGGAACTCGCGGTAGTGGCGCGTGACGGTGCCGTGCGCGGCCTCGGACTCGATCGTCTGCCCGTCGGGCGTGATCAGCTCGGAGGTCATCATGCCCAGCGAGCCGAAGCCCTGCGCGAGGATGTCGGACTGCACGTCGCCGTCGTAGTTCTTGCACGCCCAGACGAACCCGCCGGAGGACTTGATCGCCTGCGCGACCATGTCGTCGATCAGCCGGTGCTCGTAGTAGATGCCGGCCGCCTCGAACTGCGATTTGTATGTGCTGTGCGGGGTCAGACGGTGCGGCGGGAGGGCGCTGTCAGGGCGGACTCACGTTTCGTAGATGTCCTGGAAGATGTCCTTGAAGCGGCCGTCGTACTTCTTCATGATCGTGTTCTTCGTCGACATGAACTGTTAACAGGGATCAGCGACTGAAGCCCAGATGATTAGTTTCAAATCCGTACAAGGGGCATCTTCTTGGCGAGCGCCATTTTGAAGGACGAGTGCGCGAACCCTGTAATGGACTGTCCGGCGGGCCCGTTAACAGCAGCGGTGGTCGTCACAACGAGAAGGCCGTACATCGTCGGTGTTGTACATGCTCATCGCGACACCCTTTCCCTTGAAGTCATACACATCCATGACCGTCGGCTTTCCACCATCTGCAGGCGAATACACGAGCTGCAGCTTTCCCGGGCCTGGCGCAACAAAGTCCGTCGAGCGGTACTGGTCACCGAACGCATGACGCCCAATGACAATCGGGTTCTTCCAGCCAGGGATGGGTTTAGGGATGCTCTTCAGGATGATGGGCTCTCGGAAGACCGTGCCGCCGAGGATGTTGCGGATCGTCCCGTTGGGGCTCTTCCACATCTGCTTGAGGGTGAACTCCTTCACCCGCGCCTCGTCCGGCGTGATCGTCGCGCACTTGATGCCCACATTGTACTTGAGGATCGCCTCGGCCGACTCGACTGTGACCTGGTCATTCGTCTGCAAGCGTGCGGGGGGTGGACGGGTGAGGAGGGCGTAGGGCAGGGGTAACGGATGCACGTACCGCGTCTCGCTGCTCGAGACCGAGGTCGAAGTATTTGATGTCCAGTTGGACATATGGCAGAATGAGCTGGACCACGCCGTCAGAACGAGGGACCCTCTCTGTAATGAACGCTGCTGCGCACCTCCTCCCTGATTTTCTTCCAGATAATTCTCGTCATCTCATCCCCGTCCAATTCCACCACCGGGTTCTTAACCACAATTTTCTCTTCTGTATGTGCGTCCCAGGTTGCCGGCGGGTAGGATTATTGCAACGCATCTCGTGCAGATGGTGGTTAGGGAGTGAAGTCGAATTGGTGATAACCCGTGGTGGCAGATACAGAAATGTCGTGCGATGGCTGTCAGCGCGTTATCCTCGCTTCAGACACGACGTCCACTCACGCATTCTGGACAAGCTGCTCGTGAAACCTCGCCGCAGCAAAGACGAAACTGTCGACCGCCTCGCGAACCCCGCGTACGAGACGGACCTGGGCCACATTGCACTCATCTTGGAGCCGGTTATGAGGGTAGACGCAGCCCCGAAGTTGCGGTACAGGTACGAGCTCAGTGGCGCGAAATGTTTGCGGGTCGATGGAATAGCCTGCACGTCGAGTCAGCCAAGCTGCCTCAGGACTATATACCCGGGCGTTATCCAAGTCGTGCTTCGCAACCACGGAAGGATTCATCGGCCTTGCGTCCGAAGAATAGGCTCAGACGTCGGCAACCCTCACGGTGTACCCTCACGTGGACACGGTACGCATGCCAGGAGCGGCCCAGGACAGCCTGCAGACTCGTCTGCAGGTCCGGGGCCAGTCCGGGGCCCCGCATCTGAGTTGATACGTTCTCAGGCTAAGACAGGCTTCCTTACCCACATCAAGGTGCCTGCACGGATATAGCGGATCGAGGGAAACTGGCGACCACAAGTATTGCTCTAGTTGTGAAACACTCGGATACCTCATGAACGCTGACCGGCAGGGTTTCCAAGCAGCTGGTTTCTCACTTGCATACAATGGCATACGGAGATATCATATCCCGCCGTACGGCCTCCGCTGTGATAACTCGTTGTGACTAGCCGACTTCGATGGGAGATGCAGCGTCCGAACTTCGGTGTTGCTCCGGCGAGATGTATAACATCGCATAAGCGCCCACCCTACGAATTGTTAGGCGCCAGACCTACTTCGCTACTTGCTACGGTGTTGTATGATTCCTTCACTAAGGGTAGTAGAATTTCGAAAGACATAACCAGATTTGATCACCGAGAATGAGGTTCCAACGTACAATACAAGGCTTCTTACATGAGCCCAATTAGCAGGATCATCCATGCGACTAAAGTCCTAGTACTAGTAACTTATGTGCTTTAGGTTTTGCCTCTCTTTCGACTGCAATGCTACGCCGCCTGGCGAGCGGTGGCGTGGCACTTTTGCAACATCGTTGCATAGGCCCCGCAGGGAGGAGGCTGCGTGTTCAACGTTGTCAGCGTTCAAACGTTCAAGCTCAAGCTCAAGCTCAAGGGCGTGTTATTACTGTTAACTCTGTCTGTCGATAGCTGTGACTCCATGGTCGTTGGCCGCGAAGCCTCCGAGTCAAGTTCTGTTCACTCATCTCCTCGGGATGCTGGCGAGCCAGGTAGGTTCTACAAGTTTGTGCTAGTTGTAATCTGCTGACGCACAGTAGTAACTGACGAGATGGACCAAGACTCCGGCCGCCTGGCATCGAGACCTCAAGACCGAGTGTCGGAACGCTACACAGGCTGAAGGGACGACAGAGGTCAAGGACAGATGCTCGGAGACGACAAAGCTCTGCCAGAGAGTGAAAGCTGGGAGACACTATAGAGTTGCGCGACGGATACTGTGCGACTTGCTGAACCCTCGAAGATTTGTGTCGCTACGTGCAGTACGACATTCGCCGGGGGATGATACCTAGTACTCACATCTTGTTCCGACCTGTTATGTAGCCGGACTCAAGTATGCGGCGGACTCCGATGGGCTAAGGGCTATTTTGAGCGGTGTTCGAAGCACAGGGAATGTTCTTATACTCACAGCAAGCGAATAGTGTGGTTTGCAGTCAGCGCGAAGAGGTCCAGACATACGATTCGTGACCTGCCCGTGACCTGCCCGCGTTCATCTTGAGCCTGTCTACAGTTCCAAATCTTGCAGAGTGCACGCTCGGGTCTCGATTGCCTTTATATGGCCACGAAGAGACGGTCGAGGAGTGGTTGTCGGCTACAAAAGGCGCATCAGGCCCTAGCCCGCTTTGTAGCGACAAGGACGACGCGTCAATTTCGAGAGGAAGACTGCCAGTGGGGAGGTATCATATGATTATACTGTAGTATTCAATACAGTCCGGCGGTCACGCGTCACAAGGCCCCTCGCCACACCGGTAAAGGACCCTTGTCACGGGTCATTGGGGGTCCCGCCGGTTGTGACAAATGCACAAAAATTTGGCCGCCTCCGGCGGCGGCCTCAGCACTCGTTTTGACGACGTTTATAGCCCATCGACGCTCCGCCGCACCGTCTGCACCGTCTTTGTCACACGTCACCGTCGCTCGCGCCGCGCCGCCTGGCGGCGGCGCGGCTGTCACAGTCACAACCTGCGCCGGATTGAATTGAATACTACAGTAGTCGCAGGCATCGAGAGCCTGAGTGCGTCGCGTATGGTTGACGGAGGACCCGCATCTACAGGTGCGGCCCTCGCGTCGAGAACTCCTAGCGCATGGAAACGAGAGGCAGGTGACGAGAGTCTTCGCCGGGCATTCAGCCGGACGCACAATAACCCTGGCCCCTTCCATCGTGCGCCCGCGCACGCAAGCCCAGATGCGAGGCCTGTCTAGCATAGTGGCGGCTGAGGAGCGTAGGCCGCAGCCAACGGACCTTCCCTGCCCATCTGCTCAAGCCGTACGTGACGATCGTCGGTAGCTCGGCTTAATGACGCTGGCAAGTAAAATGCGATGTCGTGGAGGTGCTGTTGTCAGGACCGGAGGAATCCGATGGTGCGCGACAGGGATCAGGGATAGTCTGGACGAGACTGATACTTGTGACGTGCGTGTGCACGAGTCGAGGTATACCGACGTGCACAGCCATCCGGGTCGATAGGGGTAGTGTGGCTGCTACGCTTGAGTAGCGGACCTGGGCTCGAATCATTTCAACCCTTGAGGAAAACGTAATCGGCGCGCAATTGCTCGTCCCTGATTGAATGAACAAGCTGGTTGTCCTGGTCTATGTCGAACGCCACAAGGGCCAGGACGCTGTCCCATGTGAGGCCGATGCCGTCGCGAGAAGTACCCGCGCTTCCGCGCCGCAGGTACAAGTGAAGCATGGCAAGGCTCCGTGGATCCAGAAAGCGCACGGTCTGGTATTCGGTCACAGCGGCTCCAGTTGCATGTCGGGAGCCGTCGGGACGATGATCCACAGGGAAGGAGCGAGTGCCCTTCTGCGTGAGCGGGACGTATCGCACCAAATAAGCAAGATCGAAGGGATTCGAGTCGCCCAGAACCATGTCCGAAGTGGCCAGAAATATTATGTTGTACTGATCCACAATGAAGTGTGTGGGTGCGTGGTTCCGGAAATAAGGGTCAGACGTATGACACACATCAACGCAGGTGCATCTAGGAAGACCCGCAGTGACAAGTATATCCACCGCCCTAGACAGGTATTCCTCTGCAACGATGAAACCGGCCATCTGGCAGTGGGAAGGGATAAATCAACGAAGGCACACAGATTGACCTTGCAACGGACGTACCCTCGACACTTGATTCGCACCCTGATACGATAAACATGGTCTCCCCAGACCACACAAGGTACCGATGCCGCTTCTAGGGCCCGGGCGGCAGCCGCTGTCAGACCCCACGGGTAGTCATATTCGGACAGCGGTAGAGGGAGGACAGGCAATAGGCGGCTTGTAATTGCGCGATGAATGCGTGCAAGGACGTCCACGCCTTGCTCTCTGACTCACCTGGAACATTGTGAGCGATACCACATAAGAAGCCGCCCTACATAAAAACGCGAGATAAAGATCGCCATTACCCTGTGTTTCGTCAGCTCTGTGGGTCGGCATCATAGCGCAAGCTGGCGTCACCTGTATAGTTCGGAGAAGAGTCTCCTAGACAGCCTAGATAGCATTGGGTGAATAAGGACGAGGTGTTTCTTGATGGTTGAAAACAACAGTGTTCGTGCGAGCTTGTTCTCAGCACTTCAAGTTGGAGTCAGATTTCGTGTAAAAAGTGGAAGTAAGGCTGAGGTCGAGTTATAACGCCCCCGCCACATGTGCACAGAACCACTCGTGGATACCCGGGCCGCGATACCGCCGCAGCGCCCTTACTGACCGTAGGTCGTTCTTTGCCTTATGGATGTCACTTTCGACTATGTATCCGCCGTCGGTGGTGTGGGCTACAACAAGGAGGGGGATATGGCAGGATTCGACCGTGACACTGGGAAAGTACTCCGATTGTTGTTGCTTTCATGTGAAGCGAAAGTAGCGACCCAGGAGCACTGCACCATACGCAGTGAGTGACTCAGTGAATTTCAGACGGTGTGGGGGCGCGCTGATAATTTGTGCGTTAGGTGAAAACCATGATCACCGGAGTGCTCTTGGAATTGGCAGGAAAATGGAAGCATCACTTCCGATGATAGTGAATCCTATCCGGGTGCGCGCACGACTAGGCATTTGGTGCACTCAATCCTAGCCTCGACGCCTGCATCAGTAAGGGAGCGATAACTTCAACGTCCGATTCGACTCACAGCAGTCGTGTCCATCCAAGGCTATGTTGCCATACCCAATCCACAGAACCCAATCTCTCCTGTGAACGCGTGAACGCGCGCGCCCAGACGCGCCCCAAATACCAACGCTTCCCCCCTCTCCACCGCCTCCAGCTACTCTGCTGGCTCATTTCACTCGCCACGCACACGCTCAGCCTCCTGCGCGACGCGCTAGGCGATTCGGGCACGTATGCGTGGGCGAGCGGCCAGATGTAGTCGGGACAGGACGCCCACGGAGGGTCGTTTCCAGCGTGCGGTGGTGGGGGGATGCTCGCAGCTCGCGAGGTCGGGACGCGTGCGTGCTGAGTTCGGTTATGAACAAGATCGTCACCATGGAGTGTAATCGTGACGGGGCACAGACGATAGCCTTCCGAGGTATCCTGTTTCCGTGATAATGTCGTCCTAGAGATAGCTTCGACGGCCTGTGCACAGGTCACAGTCTGCTTTTGCTATATATCGGGTTCCTCTTCTGAACAGTTGTTACCAGTCCACGACGGTGCCAGGGTCCCATTAAGTGCGACACCCCACTGGAGAACCTCTGCGCGGCTATGGCCACCGTTCCCTCGGAGTTGAAGAAATCCCAGGCACTGTACTCCATGTCAAAAGAGAATTCGACCGAGTCCAGGTTCTTGAAGACCGGCTCTTGCATCGCACGGTGAACGGAGAGCAATGCCGGCGACTCCAACTTCGCGTAGAAAAGACGAGGTTGGGCGCTGAGCGGGAAGAACTTCCCAGTAAGTTGTATGGCTTGATGGACCTTGATAGACCGCAGGGCGGGGCTGCGCACTGTCATTAACATCGCTTGAAGTTCCAATGCCACGGTATGCCATTTGTCGCGGGGGTCCTCGTCCAATGTACACGCGCGCAACTCGAACCGTATCGTATGCAGATTGGGACTGTATGCGAACGTGCAGTGCGTGTTGATGCTATGCGCAAGCAGCGGGACGTTGTGTTGAGAGTATGCACTGGCACCGGCGCGGGTTGCCTGAGCGATCGCGGGCCAGAGGAATTCAAGACCGTCTGGTCAAGTGTGCTGCTGTCAGTCTTTGAGAAATGCCCCCGGTCGCTCGAGCACTGACCGTCGGAGTCGAGATCCAGCTCGTGGATAGACAGCAGGTTCCTTCCAGCGACCTCAAGGAGTTCATTCACCTGCAGAGATACGTTGAATGGATTGCGCCAGATAGCCAGATGAGTGAGGTTCGCGCAGGCTGAGGACTCCGCGAGCCATCTGACGAGTGGGACGATGACTGCGGGCGTCAGGCCCCAGCCCAGGACCAACTGTTCCAAGCGTATTCGCGTTGGATGCACAGTAGCAACCGGGCCAGTGTCCGTTTCGAACACGCCGACGCAGAGCTTGAGATGTTTGAGCTGCGGAAATGCACATATGATCCGCCGGAGCTCGCTGAAGCAGCGCAGCGTGAACCGAAACAACTCCAGCGTGGTCACTGCTCTGAAGAGGGGCAGCATATCGAAGAAGCTGACGTGCATGAGTGGGTGCAGCGACATGTGGAACACGAGCCTGCGTACTTGCGGCATGAGTCGTGCAAAGATGAGCGGGACGGCATGCACGGGTACATCGCGCTGCTGTCCGCCCACACGGAGCGCGTTCGTCTGCGCGAAGCGCTCGGCGGCACGGGGGTCCGAGTCGTTGAGGGCGAAAGCGGCGAGGGAGTCAAACGCCACGCGACTGGAGATTGCGATGTCTCTGTAGAGGAGGCGTATGCTCGCCTGGTACCATGCCTTGCAGACTAGCACGCAGTTGCTTAGGCTCCCTTGAGACATCCTGTCCATGAAGAGTTCGACGACTTCGAATGAGATGCGGCCAGAGAGAGCGCGCGACAGACTCGGGCGTATGCGCCTCCTGGATCGCCATTCCTCGTTGGCTCGGTCCCCTTGAGGTGCACCCTTAGCGTGGTCTGGCCAGCCGTAGATAAACAGTAACACTTCCTCGAATGAGGTGGTGTCGGCGAGCTCAGGAGTTGTGGCACCTGCGCATGTTGTGAATCATGATATCATCGACCGGTCAATGCATACAAGGGGTTATACGCACTGGGGATTTCTGGGTCTGTGAATATAGAATTGGCCTTGGACGACATACCTAGTGGTATGGGATGAAAGGCTTTGGGGAGATTACATGTCAGTGAATACCACCGGCATCGATAGAGTTCAGTTGAGCCGTGTGAACGAGACACAAGAGAGCATGACAGAGAATTCGAACTTTCAATCAGAGGGCAGTGCGGCAGAGCGTAAAGCTCACAGCAACTGTCATACAATGTCAAGTTCCATCCATCGTCTATGTATATCATGTATGTCAACCGTCTGTGCATACGTTAGCGACGCATATTGTACGCAGGCGGAACACACACGATTGCACTACAAACGAGCCCAGTCCCCCGTATCAGACTCGTTACAACAGTCTCTTCGATCGACTGCTCTGAACGCCGGCGATGGGGTTCCTCTTCTGAGCAATCGTTACCACTCCATTGTCGTGCCATGAAGAAAATAGACGTGGCAGTCCGCTGGAGAACCTTTGTGCAGCCGTAGTGACTGTCGCTTTCCAGTCGGAAAACTCCCATGCACTGTACGATAAGTCAAACGAAAACTCAACTGACTGCAGATTTCCAAACTCCGGTAGTTTCATCGCGCCATGGACCGGTAGCTCCTTTCCCAATTTCGCGTAGAAGAGACTGGGTCGAACACTCAGGGAACAGAAGTCCCCAGTGACCAGTAGGTACTGGTGGATTTTGATGGACTGCAATAAGTGACTTCGTACTGTTCTGAGTATGGTGTCCAGCTCTCGTGCGACGCGTGCCACTTATCGTCCAGCACGCACGCTAGTAGTTCGAAGCGTATGGAACGCAAGTCGGGGCTGTGCGCGAAGGGGCAATGCGACTCGCGACCATCTAATTTGGAGCTGCGGGTACATGTCCCAAATCCAGGGGTGCATTTCGAAGGTTTCTAAGCAGGCAGCTGTCAGTCTTCGTCAAGTACACACATCATACAACCACTCACCATCGGGATGGACGCGGAATTCATGCAGTGACAGCAGGTTCTGTCCAACGCCTTCAAGCATTCCATTCACTTGCAACGATGAATTGAAGGGGCTGTGCCAGACGGCCAAGTGAGCAAGGGTCGTACAGGCCGAAGACTCGGCGAGCCACCTGACGAGAGGAACAACGATCGAAGGTGTCAGTCCCCATCCGAGGACCACGCGTTCCAGACGTATCCCTGATGTACGATTTGGGACGGCAGGGGCCTTTCCCACCCCGCCCAATTTGAGCAGCGGGAACGCACAGATGATACGGCGCAGCTCGCTGGCAGCGTGCGAAAGAAGGTGGGATGGAGAAGGGGTCGCAGCGACAGGTTGAACACCAGCGTCTGGACCTCCGGCATCATCCGCGCGAGGACGACGGGAACGAGATGTACAGGGGCGTCCTTCCCGTCGATTCGCAGCACGCTCGTTGTCGCGAGCTTCCGCAGAGCACGAGCATCTCTGGATGCGAAGTCGACAAGAGCGTCGAATGCAGTACGAGTGGCGATAGTGATGTTCTTGTAGAGAATACGGACGCTTGCCTGGTACCACGCCCGGCAAACCTGCGCACAGACACCTAGGCCCTCCTGAGACATACAGTCCACGACGAGTTCAACGACTTCGAACGGTATGCGGCTGATTAAAGCACGCGACAGTGCGCGATGCGCGAGAGGCCTCCTAGGCTCCCGTAGCGCTTTGGTGCCGTCCTCCGAACGCGTATCCGTGGTGCTTTCTGGCCAGCCGTGGATGACCTGCAATGCCTCCTCGACCGAGCCCACATCGGCAGGTTCAACCAGCTCAGGCGGAAGGGTCTCTATACACATCGTAAGTCGTGTTATCAGCGGCGACGTGCATACTGAGTACGCACTCGGGACCTCCGGGTCCAAGAAGATGGAATTGTCGTCGACCAACATGCAGAAATTGGGGAAAGAGGGCTAAGGTATCTGAAGTGCCGGGAAGAAGCCATAACGTTGCCATAACGTGCCCTTGATAGGTGGCACTGGGTGAAGTGGGCGCTGAGCGAAACGGGCGCTGGGTGAAATGCACGTACAGTTCATCACCGGCAGATAGAACATCGACGGCACAGCCTACAGCATGGCAGTTCAGATCGTCAGCCTTGGATCATCCAACGCAGGGAACTGGAAGGAAACGTGCTCAATGAAAAATCAATCCGACACCATGTCGACGAAGCACAACGTATATGATACCTGAATATAGAAGGCCGGAGTGCACGACCTTTGACACCGAAATCAGTCCAACGGAAGACTGCTGACCCAAATTCTAGCTAGGAAGGATCTGGACACTCACCAGTACGGCTCTCCAAGAACGGTTCATCTGAAGCGCGGGACGTACGCTACCAACGCGGAGGGAGCTGAGGGAAGGACATTACGGAGATACATAAGAACTAAGCAAACCCCAATAGAGTACAATAGATGTCTAAACCCAGTCCGACAGTAAAGAAAAGATCAGAAAACCAACGAACGCAATAACCATAGCGGGGCCCGCATGACAGAGGCCAAAAGTGAGAGTCAAACCAGAAGTAAACGAATGCGAAAAACGAAACTCTAATGCCACACAAGTAGATGCACCGTATCAGAGCTCACGCATGAATCGACTCCGCGTGTCGTTGAGGCAGCGGCGACGGCAGCTTGAAGTGCTTCCCGAGTGGTGTGTTCGGGCGGCTGCGCACCTTCCACCACGCGCCCTTCGCGTCGCGGGGCGACTCCAGCGCATTCAAGTCTGGCGTGCTGCCCACCCCCAGCTTCTCCACGCTGACCTCCACGCGCATCTCGTCACTGCTCCCGCTGCGCGTCGAGCTCCGCGCCACGGAGTACGCGTCGCTCTGGCTGTCGACCGAGCCGATGCTGCCGACGCTGTTCTGCCTCGCCGCGGCAGGGGCGAAATACGTGAAGGGCGAGGGCGCAGGCGACGCGCTCGGGAGCGGGTTGAAGAGCGTCTCGATGAGGTCCTCCGTCGCGCGCAGCCCGGACGCGGACGCGAGCCCGTCTCCATCCGCACGCCCGTCCTCCTGCATGAACGTCTGCGGCCCGGAGTGGTTCGCGTGCGTGAAGTCGTCGAGTTGCCGCGCGATGCTCGTCCGCATGAGGTCGTTGTTTGCGAGCAGGCCCGTGACGGATGCGAGGATCTCCCCTTTGGCCAAGGGCGGAGGGCGGTAGTTCTTTGTGCCTCCGACGTGCTCCAGCGTGATGGTGAGCTGATATATGCGTCAGAAGTTGTCATTCCGTAACGGGGCGGAGACATCTACCTTGAGCGTTGCATTGGTCTTGCTCTCGCGGAGTAGGTACCGACGAGTTACAGGCCCTGCGTCAGCGTATTCTGCAAGGTTGAGGTAGACGGCACCCAGGCGAGGCTGTTTGGGGGCGTCCGGATCTCCGGGGACGACCCGCTACAGGCGATCGTCAGCATTCATCCAGAAATGAAACACGAGGCTACGCACCTGCATCACCACGAACTTCACTTCGTTCGGCAACAAATCGCCCGTCTCCCGATTAACGTCCATCTGCAGGACCACGTTCACCTGGTGGCCCCACTTCGCGTTGTAATTCTGCAGCGGCTGGAAGGGGGTGATCCCACGTGCTACTGCTGTCGTGGTGGATGCAACCGATGTTGCGGATGTCGTCTTGTGCATATCCGCAGGTGTCGCGGTCACCGGAGTAAGGGGCGGCATTGCTGTGTCAGGGGTATACGGCGCGAGGAGATCGAGAGACGACCCGCTTGCGCGGTGGTACATCTCGTCCTCCGTGCCCTCCTCCTGCGGACTGCTCTCATTTCCTTCCTCCTCGTCCTCATCCGCGGGGGTCACCTCGATCGCGAGTCCGAGCTCCGACGCACGCCCTTTGCCCTTCATGTTATCCCTCCCTTTCGACGACCAGGACTGATTCCCGCGCATCCTCGAGAGCAGTCCGGAGGTCTGTACGTTCTTGAACTTCCAGCGCACCGCAAATTGTCCATTAATGAGGGGGACATTGGACAGCTGGTCTATCTCGACATTGACTTGGAATAGGGCGTGTTTCGGGATGAATTGCCCGAATTGGTTCAGGAGGCCGTGGCCGAGGGCGTGCTGCTGGAGGTCGGATGTCGACGCAGAGGACGTCGAGGCGGCGCTCGGGGTGGAAGTTGTGGGTGAGGACTTCATTGGTTCATGTAACATGGCGAAGAGTGGTGTTCATAAGTCGAGGGAAAGAGAGACATGCCGCCCAGACCGGGGCCGCTGAAGCTGATGGAGACGGAAGCGCTGGATGATGCTGCAAGATGCTTGGGCTGCACAACCAGTTGAGGACCGGCGCCGACCGCGCAGGCCACCGCTGTCGGAGGTCAATGAAGCTGGGCGAGTCTTGGTTTGCCTTAGTCTCGTATGTAGTACGGGTTGCGTAAGCTGTTTACCAGCGTTGTCCTGGTCACGGCGCGGCCGATGTGGTACTAACAACCGCAACAGCCGGTGGCCCCGAGCGTTCGCGTCGAGAGTAGAGTAGACAGAAAGCAAGCTGAAGAAATGAGAGACGATGTCAAGAGTTGGTCGAGACGAGCATGTCGGAGGGTTAATGCGTCGTCGGGTGGAGGGCAGGCGTTGCCGCAGAGCCGCAGCCACCCGGCTGCACGTCGCCGGCAGTGGCACCTCGGCTCAGCTAGCATCAACCGAACTGGACCGGCTCGTTGTTTGCGATGATCGCGGTCACGGTGCTCGGCAAACGCGTCTGTGGCAGCCAACTGCGGCGTTGATGAACTGCCACAGCTGGCTCAAGTTCAAGTCGTCGAATATCTCCAGAGCCCGAGGAAACCAGAGTAGGACAGTGATCAAGCTTTTGGGAAGTGTTTCTGCTTGCATGAAGTGGCTACCGTTACCGGTGAGGCTCCCGTCCGACCAGCACCGACATCGACCGACGGCGTCCGCGCAACCACGGCAAATACGGTCACTCACTGGACAGGTCAAGTGCGCATGAAGGACGAGACAAAAATCAATTCACGCAACATCAATATTGGGATTCACTGAATGTGATATTGTCTTCTACCTACACCGACCTCGGGGGTACATTGCGCGATCAGTCGGGTAAGGCATAAGTGGTAGCAGCAGGGGCGAAAGCATCGGCAAGTGCGCGGAACTAATACTACGGGTACCCGCAAGTCAGTATCTAATATTCCGAAGTACTCGTAGCACGGAGAGGCGGGGTTGAGGAGGAAAATGAACGGTGTGGAGCGAGGATAGGACAACATGTATACGTGAAGATGTAATTAGGGTTCGGTTCAGTGTGCAAAGTTCATGGCTTACGGGAAAATGCGGGTGGAATGGAGAGTACGATGGATAGATGAGAGCATGCATATACGGAATGGATGGTAGTAGAGTGAATGCAGCGAGAGGGAAAGAAGGAAAGACTATTGACACAGCGCGGCGAATGCGGCGATTAGACGATGCGAATAGATATTAGCTGACCAAGATCCAGAGTGCAGTACCCGAGTTCAGATGGAGACCGAGGAATGAAAATTCACGAAAGCGAGGGTTGTACGAAGGTTTGTATGGCGGCTGTGATGACCGCAGGACAGCAAGGTGCAGTGGTTGATCTAGCGTCGGTGGGGCGACGAGCTAGTCGAGCCATATAGGCCAGTCGGGCGAGGAAAACACGAGAGCGATTGAGGGCTGGGGCAATCACCGCACGCCAACTCCCTCTCCCCAGCCCTCTCGAACGTTAACGCCCACCTCCATCTCCACGCTGACCTTGATATAAGGCGGCCCGGCATCCTCATGCCCGTCCACGCAATCGTCCACGAGCGCAAACTTCGTCTGGCTCTCAAACTTGGGCTTCAGCGGCTGGAAGAGTAGCGCAGACGCAGGGAGTGGTGGGCGGTTGACCGGGTTAGTGACAGACTTGTGTCGAGCTGACGGTGGTCTGCCTGGTAATTGCGCGTGCGATGGCGACGGTGTTGGTGGAAGGGATAGGGGCGACGGGAGCGGCAAGCTCGGCAGCGACCGTTCAGGATAGGGATGGACGTCCACATTCAGGTTCGCCGGCTTCGCGAGTGAGGATTCCCGTGGCGGGTACGGAGCCGGCGCGTTCGGGTGGTTTGTGACGTACATGCTCTGCGTCCGCACGCGCGTCGGTGTCGACACGCCAAACGGACTGGGCACCGGCATCGGGGGCAGCAAACCGCTCTCGAGGTCCTCCAAGGCGTCCTCGTCACCGGTCCCGGCGACATCAGCGAGGCTGATCGACTGCAGGTCCTCCACCTCCTCGTCCTCGTCCACCTCTTCCACCGGGAAAAGCTCCTTCAGATCGCTCTCGCCTGTGCACACCTCCAAGGCCCCAGCAGGCTCGCCCCACGCTGCCGTCGTCGGCTCGCATCGCGCGAGCGGCGAGCTGCGTACGGGTGTCGCGAGTCCGCACAACCGGCCCTCTGCACGCCCGAGATACGCACGCGAGCTCCACGCCCTCCGACGACTCTTCACCTCCAGCACCGCCCGTGCACTACGCGCATCCTGCGCAGCCGCCACACGGTGTGTGTTCATGCTTCGAAGCAGTTTCAGGAGGTGTATCCTCTGCGCGCTGAGCGCCGCGTACGTTGCCTGGCTTGAAGGTGGGGTCGGGCTCCTCGGTACATCCGCCGCGTGCGGGTGCGCGTCCACAAGTGAGTCCGCACGCGAATGCGACGACGACGACGAAGACGACGACGAGCGCAACGGCAGCGCGAATGGCATGCCCTCCTCGCCGTCCACGGGTGTATGCACCGATTCGCTGTCCTCCGTGCAGCTGCTCGCCTCCGTGCTCACGCTCTCCTCCCACTCGTCCACCTCCCGCTCGCCCTCGTCGTTGTACATCACCTCGCCGACCTCCACGCTCACCTCCCGCCCCGCACTCTCTTCGTCCCCAGGCACGAGTGTCTTCCCCGACAGCTCCGACGCGCTCCGCTCCGGCTGCCGCCCAGGGATCGTCACCGACAGCGCCGCGCTTGTCCGCCGCGACCCGCCCGCCGTGTCCATGTCGAGCGACCCGCCCCCGTTCTCGCGCGCCTCCTGCACCAGCCACGCCATCCACTCCTCCGTCCGCCGCAGCATCCGCGCCGCCGTCCACCGCGGGTAGTCGTACGTGCACAACGCACCCTCCGGCTCGTCGTCTGCGGTCCTCCCGAACCCCAGTCGCGCGCGCAGCTCACCGAGTACGTACCGTCGCCATGCGTCCACGAGCCCCCGCGCGCCTTCGCGTGCAGGATGGCCGACCGCGGCCGCGCCACACTGACGGGCAGGGGCGTCTTCCTCGCTGGCGGCAGGAACGCAAGCGTCGTCGTCCACGCCGTACTCCTCGCACCGCCAAAGGCGACTTGCGTCGGACTTGGTGAGTTCATAAAGTCTTCTCGCGTAGGCGACGTGGGGAACGCCGTCCGCGTGGGTGATGAGGATGCAGACGCCGCGAGCTTGTGCAGGCCGCTGACGATGCTCGACAGGAACAGCAGCGAGCGCTGCTTCTTGTGCTTCGCGCCCTTGCCCACGACCGGTGGCGGCAGCGCAAGCGTGTCCGACGACTGCGCCCACTCCGCCCTGCCCGCGCCGGGGTACGTGTGGTGTATCGGCGCAGACGTGCGCGGGATGATCGCCGCGCGCTCCTTCTCCGCCTCCTTCTTCGCCGCCGCGAGGTCCGTCAGCGCCTCTCTCAGCACCTCCGCACACGACCGCCCGACGTCCCACACCACGGACCCGCCCCCGACCAGGATGCACTCCACGCGCACGCCCTCGCCCGCGTCGAACAGCTCAAACACGCACTCCTCCACGATTGCGGACCATCCGCTCGAGCCGTCCAGTGCGTGGATGCTCGGCGGCATGTCGAGGCCGTCTTGCTGCAGGCCTGAGAGCTGCGCGGCCCACCCGACGGGCAGCGGTGCGCGCGCGTGATGCGGCTCAGGGAGGACGAGCGGGTGATGCAGCGCCGGCGCGGACGTCGGCGGAAGGAGAGTGAGCAGCATCGTCGGCAGTGGGGAAAGTGGCCAGGGCGGTGGTTAAGTCTGCAGAAAGCATCAGCACTGCGAGAGATAGGAGCGAGACAACAGACGTGGACAGCGGCACAAGATCCGCAGAAGACGTGGAACATTATCTCTATTGCAGGCTTCCGGGGCGTGCAGCATGCTTTCGCGGACGTACAAGCCTCCTCGTGAACGCCACAGGCGGATGCGTCGCCGGCGAGCCGCATATAGACGCTTCGGAGCTGCCTACTTGGCTGACTATGCCCATATCCGGAGGATCGTCCAGCCGCTCGCTCTCGCCACTTCACATGCTACCCTTCTCACTCCTGCCAGGTGTGCATTCGCAGTAGGCAATGCGGCCGTCCGCTGCCAGTATGCGACAGAGAATCAAGGAAGCGCACTCACTGAGGGTAAGGGGAGGATGGAAACGGCGACAACAGCCAAGGAGCTGTAAAGAACAATCTCGTCAGTGATTTGGACCGAGTAACGGCTGAAGCAGTGGATAGAGTGACCACGGGCGACTTAGAGATGAGCGCAGTGTTTTATAGCGAGCTAGTGGAGCGACGGGTATGCAGGGACACCCGCCAGACCGAGATGTGGCCTGTAGCAGACAATCCGCCAGACAGGATTCAAATGTTTGCCTCCTGCAGCCACATCCGCCTCCAACACTTCGTGCACGGTGAGGATGTGCGCAGAGCCGTGCCGCGCATTTGCAGGCGAACGCTAGAGCACGTCGTTCCCGTGAACGCTCAAGGGACGATTCCGACGTCAAGACGCACAGTAGGCTCTGCTATCCGTTTCGGTTTCATGAGATGCAAGCGGAAACTCACAATGACGGCTCTAGCACTTCGCGAGCGGGATCTCCTCCGACAGCTCGAACGTTTGGCAAGCAAGTCTGTCACTGCAGCACGAAATTCGTCAGCGTCAGAGTGAAGACGATGTATACGGGCATATATGTCAAAGAGGGTCTCGGCGACGTCAGTCAGTGCAATGGAGGGTGGAATGTGCAGCTCCATGCATTCGAAGCATGCAGTCGATGAACACATTTCTACATCAATGCATCGGCCCGCATACATCCAGTGTGGAACGCCCTGACGAGGCTGTCAATTGCTTCGTGCCAGCGGCAGTGGCCTCGCTAAGCATGTCGAGACACAAGTCGCCACAAGTACTTCTCGATGGACTGGAGGGCATTGCAAGTCCTCTCGAAGACGGACTGCCCCCAGAACGCCCACGAAATAGACATTTAGACTGTGGGAGCGTCGGAACGAACCACGCTGGAGTCCACTCCAACACAACCGCCCTAGCTCGTTTCCCGACGCCGAGCCCTCCTCTTCTCGACCGAAATGGAACTACTCACCAGCAGACCCGCGGATTCCAGCGCAGAGATGGTTGTCGAGCGCAAGAGACGGTGTCTCGCCTGGTAGAGGCCACAGAGCGCTACCAGTAGGAACAAGACCTGGGGTATGACGTCGGCGGCGATCAGTGACAAGGAAGTCACTGAGTTGGACAGGAGCAAAGAGGGAGATGCGTGCCGTCGTCGCGCTGGCCCTTGTCGCACTCAGAGGCCACAGAGAGACCGAGGGAGCTCGCGTCGGTCGGAAGCAAGTCGGAAGGGCAGGCGTCGACCCGACGCGAGCGGCCGGGGCGCCCGCTAAATAGCCGACCCCGTTAGCCCACATGCCTGCCCATATATGGCATCCCGACTACCTTATCTGGTCCCTTCCCCGTCCCTGCCGCCCGCTTCTCCCGTCTAACGCTGTCCGTTTCCTGCGGTCTACGCTCCTCCACCGCCACTACGCCAGAGAGGCCACACTTTGGGCTGGCGGGTGTGGGTGCACGTGCCAGCACTGTGCGTCCGGCCTCACCGCCGAACATGCCATCAGACTCTCGTTAACGCATCCGTGCGCACTTCGAATTCTCGCGCCGCGCCTGTGGACCGGCGGGTCCCCGCCGCGCATGGTCCTGTCCAGCTCGACGTCTGCCGCATCACAATCAAATCACAATCCCCCGCCGTCTCGTTCTCGCGGTCGACGTGTCATACCTACTTATAGTGGGCTGCATTCTGACGGGCCCCATGTCGCCGACAGCCACTCCTCGCTACGGGCCCCAGTAGTACGTGGCATGAGACCGCATCAGGAGTCAATTACGCACCGACCTACTTACAAGATACGGAACAGATTCGAGCGCAAATCGCGGGCCGGTCATGTCGCATGTCTGATTGCAACGTACGTCGTTGACTGCGAACCACACAATCTATCTGCCCTAATAAGCACCCATTTGTGAGTGTGCGTCAAACGCCACTCACATAGCTCGCAGCCGCTGGAGACTCGCCCATCGGATACACCAGTCGAGCTACGCCGGACGACACTTGCCATGCAAGTAGGTATCATTGAACCCAGTGGACGTCTTCCTTCAGGTCACGACCTCAGACACTCAGGCTCACAGCCCGCACGATTCCTCCGCCAGCGGTTTCTGGCATCCTCAGCTGCATCGGCGCGCCTACCGTATTCGGCGACCCAAGTGCGTCCGCACCGCATCTGGACTCCGGACGCCTGCCATCTCCAGACGCCTCTCCGGTCCTAGCGTCGACTCTCGAGCTCCGTTCTTCCGGCTATCCCTACGAGGGAAGGCGTCGAGGCCACAGACGAGTACAGGCTTGACATAGCCGGATCTGCGGGAGGTGATCCGCACGGACACGGCGCCCTGTTGTGGACTAGGTATGTGGCTAAGCCGGAATGCTTTCGTCTGGAGCTGACTCGCTGCACCCATCCGCGCACTAACGATTCCCGAACGACGTTGCGCGCCGCTCTGCTCTTTGGCAGATGAGTCGTCGTCGCGGGCGTCGCGCTATCGCCTCGTACTAGGCATATTGGGCTGTCGGCCGTCGAGCTGACGTTCGTTCCGGCGAAAGTCGAGACGTACTCATGCTGGTCAGACTCCACGTCTGAGCCCACGCGTCCATCTCACATCCGGGTGGCCCACGGCAGCGACGACGGGTCGAATTGATCTGAGGACCATCCTGCCACCAAGCCTCGATGCGCGGGATAGCAATGTTGTCGTCACGTCCCGATGCCGAGGCGGACGTGCGGATATCTGGAACTCGAGATCTCGAGGTCCGAACAATAGCTGCCAGTGGATCATAAGCTCCTTATACAGGAAACCTCGCCTAGAACCTATTACCTGGAACCCAGCCTTGGCTGCGGTTTCAGCAGACGACCACGCCCGGCAGCGGGACATGACAAACCTGAGCATCTGCGGAGACGGAACTTGCCATCAATGCCACCGCCCATAGCTCCCAGAGTTGCACGTCCGGAGCCCTACCATCCGACAATGTCCGACCACACGAAGTCTGCGAGCTCTACTCGGTCTCGAGGTGCTTGCATTGTTGCGGGGACGAGGTAGGGCGCAAGTCGCACAACAAGGATCTCCGGATTGGTTCGCTGAACGCGACATGCCAGGGTGAAGGACGGCATCGAACAGGACATCGAGCCGCGCCAACAGTGAACTCTGAAGAACATGCAGGTGTGACTCCAATGCGTCTTGCTGGACGAGTAGGACCTCGTCGCGGGACACGTAGAGAATGCTGAGATGTATTGTAAGCGTCTTCGCATGGTGTCTTCGCACGATGGGTTCAATATGTCTGAACAGGCCACCATCTCCTATGGACCGGCAACGACGAGTACGCAGTGAAATACAGCGACATCAGCTCAGGCAACTTGCGCCACTTCGACATCGCTAGCGTGGTGCAAGTCAGGCAGGCCCGCAAACTCCTCAAGACATGAGGAGGACGGACACCTGCTGGAACCGTGATATCGAGCCACACTATCGCCACGGTATGGAAAGGTTCGTGTGGGTTGCGGCGTACATCGCTTGAGCGTTCGACGACAAAGGAAACAGCATCACGACCTCCCCGGTTTGGGCCTGGCTGACGGCCGACCCGGAAGAGTGCAGACGGATGAAGCTCGCGTTCTTCTGATACGGAACCGGGCAGTGCTCTGAGCATGGGCTGGACCAATATGCCGTGTCCTTCGCTTACTCTGGCTATGAAGAGGCTTCACGCAGCGCCAGACCATCGCAATGTCACGGTAGGATCGTCGCGATGCATGCACCATTCACAAGGAGCCCCGTCTCGAAACGAAGCAAGTTTCCCCAGAAGACCTTGGCGATGAACTTCAAGACGCAAAGCGTATTTTCGATAACTTCTGGGATGACCTTGAGGGTTGGATGCCGTAATCAGAGTGAGTAGTACTTATAACAACCGCATATATAGAATCAAGTTCCTGTTAGGCTGTGCCGTTAAGGTTCTAATCTGACTTGCATTGATAAATATCACACAGGCCTTTCTCACGACATGTACATGACCTTCCAGATGGCAATCACTTCACAGCCCTGCCCTCGCGCTCGGTTCGCTCTACCGTGCAGTCATGTCGTGGGAAGACAACTCCATATTCACGGACCCGGAAGTTCCGTGTGCGTACCAGGTTCGCAAGTCTCCATTGAAGACATGACTTACAGCACATACAGTGACCCTTCCCCCTGAGCCGGCTGAAAGCGCGAATGTGGTTTCGGTCGAGGCGGCGCTGCAAATCATCCATGGTTGGCAGGAAAGCACTAGGAACGCGTATTCAAGCGACGGTGCGGAAGCACTACGTCAATCCACGGTCCCCATCGCGAGCCGACCTCTCTCGCGTGCCATATCCGATCGCATACCGTTCGAGGTCGTTGAACTCATCATGGGCTGGATGTCTCAGGCAAGTCTAGGCACCTGCGCGCAGGTTTGCCAGGCATGGCATCAGGCCAGCGTCGGTCTCCTTTATCAAAAGATCACTATCGCTAGTCGCACGGCATTCGACGCTCTTGTCGACTTCGCATCCAAGGACGCTCGCGCATCGGAGAGGCTTGTGGAAACGAGCCTATTGCGTATCGGCGGGCATCCGCGTCACCGGGACGCCCCCGTACATGTCATCCCCGTTGTCTTCGCTCGTATGATGCCGGGGGTCCGGACCTTGGTGTTCTACCTGTCGCAGCAGCGGCTGCTGCACTCTACATTCTTCCGCACGTTGCATCTCTTTCGTGCGGTAACAACGCTGGAGCTGTTCTCGTTTGTCCTAGACTCCTTCGGCGAATTGCGCAGTATCATCTGTGCGTTCCCGCAACTCAGCTGTCTCAAGCTCGCTGTCGGCACGCTGAGAGCGGAGACCCCTTCCACTCCGATTCGTTCAACACCAATTCGCTTGGACCGTTTGGTCCTTGGTGGGGCCTGGCATCTCTGCTCATTGTTCCACTCGTCGAGTGGCTCTCTGAGTCCTTGGCCTGTACGAATCTTGCCCACCTGGCCATCTGGCGCACTCCCTACAATCTAAGGTCGCCAGTGAACAGACTGCTCAAGGTCGCTGGGCAGAGCCTGCTGTCGATGTACGATTTCAATGACAATGGTCGGTGTTCATACCTTGTCGGGAATTTATCGAGTGCTGACGACTGTTCAGACTTTTCCGAGACGTCCGCGCTTTTAAGATCGCTTTCTAGACGTCCCGGCGCCCAGGGCATGCGCTCACCACTGGACCCTGGACAGTGGTTCGCTCAGAGTTCCGTATCACACTACACCCTTGCGCACAGTCGCAGCCTGCGTTCCGTACGCCTCGAACTGCAGGATTGCGTACTGGATGACAGGCCGGACGATAAGTCACGGTGGGTGAGCATTGCGCTGGCGTTGGAGTCCACATTGAGGACAGTGCGAAGTCCCAATCTGCAGTCCATCAGGATCCACCAACGCTTACTGCTCACTCAGTCCTTCTTTCCGCTCAGTGATCGACCCCGTCTCTTCTTTGCAAACTTGGAAGAAGACGCATTGCTATCAGTTCATGACGCGATGAAACGACCTGTATTCGGGAATCTGACTTCGGTTGAACTCTCTTTCGACATGGACTACAGTGCATGGAAGTTCTCACAACCGAAAATCACAGTAGCAACGGCCGCGCAGACGTTTCTCAGCGGAGTATCGCACTTGTTTGCGCCATGGTGCGAGCGTGGACTTGTAACGGTTGTTCAGAGGGAGAATCCGATCTACAGCGAGACCAATGACTGGTGATATAGGACTAGGTTTGACTGTCCTGTGGCTCAAACGGGCGTCCCATCTCGAAGCAGTGTGTTCGGTCCTCCTGTGTACTATATGTGTCGCTAATATGCTATCCATATCGAAGCGCGTCGAGGCCAGAGCCTAGTACTGGTGGTCAGTACACACTTCGTTTTGACAGTTCGTGATCAGGCCCATCATAGTAGACTGTGCCGCCTGCACTTCTGACGAGGATGGAAAGCTCTCCCAGTTGTCATTGTGCCCTCATGACTCGTGGGTCGCTGATATGTCAAAGAAGACAAGTAATCTCCGGCTTTGGGCCCGATGCCACGGGCGGTAGCCTCGAGCCTTCGGTACTATCAAGATCGGCATGCAGGTGCGGGCGACGGCGAATTTGTTTGCGACACAATCTCACTACCCGATGTCATGCATTCCGACAAAGCTCAAGTCCTTCTCGTTCTTATTGATTCTCAGGCATTACAGCAGTAATGGATTGTCTGCCGTAAACGCTCTGCGGCCGAGAGGTTTCGTACCACTGCCGCGGCTAGTACTGTCAACCTGCTTGACGGCCGATCCCCGCATGACCCTTGCCACAGGTATATATACTGGCATACCCCATATCAAGGGTAGGTCAACTGGGCCGCTGCGAGACTGACGCCGTTGGCACGATTCTAGCATCACTTCCATTTATCGCTGGTGAATGACCGATGTCTGGCTCAACCGCTGCTGATCTCAAACGCCCTCTTTCTGATCTCGACGAGAGCTACTATCGCCTTGATGGCGAAGAACTCGCTTTCTTCAAGCAATAGACAGGCATACGTGACGAGGGGACTCTGAAACAACATATATTGAAGGTTCAGCGTGACGCTTATCAGGTAAGGAAACTCTGTGTGTGTACATACTACCTAAGCTTACCGTCAAATATACCTGCCATACAGACCAGATCTTATACATGCATCCGCTGGTTCACATTCACAGAGTAAGTGGTGACCATGGCATATCGGTGTGGCTGGCAGAAGCTGACGGTGCGTGTCTGCAGGCTCCAATTAGCAAGGCTTCCAGCATACACTGAACTCCTGAAGCTTGGACAAGAACGCCAAGGGGCCATCCTGCTCGAAATAGGATGCTGCTGTTCGTGATCCATACACATTGCCAATTCGCGATGCGAGCTGAAACCTTTCAGTTGGTAATGATATAAGGAAGGCAATCGCAGACGGCTATCCACTCCAGAACTGCATCGTGTCAGACATTGAGCCCGGTGAGCAGTTGAGATGCATCATGACCATCTCTGCACATTGCTGATTTGTCGACGTTCGGCCACAGCCCTCTGGAACTTCGGCTTCCAGCTCTTCAACGACACTCCAGAAACATTCCCTGTCCCCATCGTCGCAGGCGACGCCCTCGACACAGCCTTCCTCGAGCCCGTCCCTCCCTTCACCTCTCACCCCTCCACTCCAGCCCCTCCTCTGTCCTCCGTCACGCAATTGTCCCAGCTCCACGGGCAAGTCTCTGCCATATACCTCTCCGCCGTCTTCCACCTCTTCCCCGAGGAGAAGCAGCTCCAGCTCGCACATGCGATCGCAGGGCTACTCTCGCCCGCCCCGGGATCGCTGATCCTCGGCTGGCACGCCGGCCTCCACGAGAAGGGCGTGCTCCCGGGCCCGCAGCGTCCGGACGGCCAGCATATGGGTATCTTCTGCCACTCGCCGCAGACGTGGAAGGAGCTGTGGGACGGGGGCGTTTTCCCGAAGGGACGGTGCGCGTCGAGGCGGAGTTGAGAGAGCTCGAGGGGGCCCGCCGAGGCCGGCGGGCGTGGCGTACTGGAAGCTCGTTTGGTCAGTGACTAGGCTGTGAATGTGCGCGTTCGGCATGGGTCCGTGCCTTCAACAAGCACGGCACTGGGACACCTCTACCAAGATGTAATCAGACAGGTGGCGGATATGCGTGACAAGAGTAGTGCAGACTGAGAGGATTCGAGATAGACAGTACAGGCGGATATCGCTCTTGTCGTCGGTGTAAGATATGATAGCTGCAGTTTTGCATTGAAGAGAGGCACACTTAGCTACTCCGTACACATCCTACTTATAGTAACCTTGTGAAACACTCGAGCCATCGTCTATGTATGTACTGCAACTTGCCAAAACTCGATGATAAATTCGCATGAGCATTGTACTCGAAGGCTCGCTTTCTAGTAGTCGATCTCCAAAGAAACCTGTAAACAAATCAGTCAGACCATATCAATCAAGGTACAGGCTTTTACATACTTGCGATATCTCATGTTGATGCTGGCCATCAGCGAAGGCAAGTACGCCTCTAGGTCGGCTTGTGCACGCTCTCCGCAATGACTGCATTTCGATGCATCCACCAAAGCCTTCATAACTGTGCCCTGAGACATGATGTCTTTCCCAGACGGTTGATCCTTCACCAAACTCTCGCAGCGCTTCATGAATCATGGAACCAGTGCGAATCTGAGACCAGACAGCAGAGAGTGGTAGGACTGCATGCTCGGGAACCTACCGCGGTAATGCAAGAACACCAACAGCGTGTGTTGCCGGCTATGGAGTCTGCGACTACGTGACGACTGACGACGGACTGAACGGCATCAGCACAGCGTCGACGGTAGTCCAAGAGGCGGATGTAAGCGGAAGCACGAATGTGATAGAGTTCGGCCGCAGAGTCGATGTGCGTGTGGCGATGTGAATGGACTCGTCAAGGAAGCTCCTTGCAGCGGCGCGGATCAGGTCTTCGTCCATTCTGTAACGTATGGCGATGCAGTACACGCGCACTGGCAGAGGTGATTTTCGACAAGACCCCGCAGCTTCTGCATGATATAGCGTTCCGTCCGGTCCATCGCATACTTCCTAGCCGCCTCCAATAAGGTGCAAAGTTCATCGAAAGTCCTCTCCGAAGTCGTCGATCGGCCGGGTAACAGAGATGCAACAAGCCCGTCAATGCAGTGCTGTCTTCCGTCACTGGGACTATCGGTAGATCCTGCGAGTTATTGTCGTTTGCTTCCGCGGACTGCCCCGACGGCAAGGTGAACATGCTATCGAAGACGGGAGACGCCTCAGCCAAGATGGCTTTGCGCACACGGAAGTTCACCCCATCACAGGATTGTAAAATCACGTCGGCGTGCGGACTGTCGAAAGGAAAGGGTGCATCGGTCGGCGTGGCGGGCGTGGTGCTGGTCGTCGGTGGCTCGTCGGTGGCCATTGGAATGTCCTCGTATCTAGCGCTGTCATTCATTCATATCAATATTGTGACCGTGCTTGTAGATTCGTTACGCACTTTCGCGATGTAGAAACTAATTATGGCCGCAGTAGGGTCGAATGCAAAGGGTCAAGGACGAAGCGGGGATGAGAGAGGATGCGATGCGATGCAAACGAAGATAAGGTGCAGTCGCCTCGCTGCTGCTTCTGGCCCGACATGTACAACGAGGCAGCATAACATGGACCAACAGTGGTTGCAAACAGCTACAAACCCAATTTTTAAAGTTCACTGCGCAACGTCGATGCGCTCTGGGCGACTTGGACTACCCAGAAGCTGACATGTGCTAAACAACCTGTAGTCGAATGACACATCAGTGAGGATCCTTCAACTGTGAGTAAGCGTTTGGTTGCTCACGTAGAGATGACACCGCATTGCTAGCATACGGTTGTCCCGAATCCAGGTCCACGACTCGATGAGGTAACTTACAACGAGGAGGCCTGCTGTCGTGACCTTCGGCTGCAGGGAATACTTACAGTATACATGTCCCCGATGAATAGGAACTATGTCCTTCCCATTGAGCAAGTTCATTACATCCGACCCACAGCGCAGATGACGGGCCAGTCCACTACTTTTGCTCCGCCGCGATGAGCTCGATGAGCTTGGCTACCAAGGCTTTCATCGCCTCTGCCTTCTGTTTTCCCACCGAAAGCACCTCTTCATGGGACACTTCTACCTCTTGCACGCGTTCTATTGTTCGTCCCGCCAACTTCAGGACCATCAGCCATAGCTCAGTCGCAATAGCAGACACGAACGCACCTCCGCCTCGACCTCCTCTCTGACGCTCTCATACTCCGGGATGACCACCTGGTTCGTGACCAAGCTCAGCACACACACGTTCACGCCCTCCTCGCGCGCCGCGAGCACCTCCGGCACAGTGCTCATGCCCACCACGTCCGCGCCCGCCGTACGCAGGAAACGGCCCTCCGCCGGCGTCTCATACGACGGCCCGCTCACCCACGCGTAAGTGCCCTCCGCAAGGGCCGAGCGCGGGAGGCCGAGCGCGTGCGCAGCGAGGAAGACCAGCCGACGAAGTGGCCGGGAGTAGGCGGTGGAGAGCGGGAGGAAGCGCGGGTAGTTGGGGCGTGCGGGTCCGAGGAGAGGGTTGAAGCCTGTGAGGTTGGGCAGGGCGAGGTGATCTTGGATGGACACGACTGGGAGGAAAGGCTGTGAGCTTGTTTCGATTCAGAATGGAGCATGGACCTACTGGTGCCGACGTCGAGGTCGGGATTGAGTGCACCTGCAGCGTTCGTAACTGCGATCATTGTGTTCAGATATCAGTATGCTTGGGACTGGTATGGACTCACTGATGATATCGCGGACGCCTAGTCTTGCGAGCACGCGGATGGGATACACGACCGTCGAAAGCGAATGCCCCTCATATGGGTGAAACTGGCTAGTATATATCAGTCATGCAATCGCGAAACCTAGTAGTACTTCACGCACCCGTCCAAGCATCGCAACTACAGGTATTCCTTCACCCTCCCCAATCAGTCCAAACGCAAGAGCACTCCGGTGTCCCTCAACTAACGCACAGTGGAATCAGTCTTCACCCAGACTCGTCCTGGTCAACGGGGCACACCTGTGCTCTTTCCGAACCCCTCCAGCGATGAGTATGGCACCTCTACGACATCGCGCAGGCTGTTCGCCAGCGTCGACAAGCCCGAACCGCAGACGATTGCTACGCGCGGCTGGAGCAGGCGGGCAGGTAGGATGCGCGAGAGCACGTCTAGTGTGCTCGAAAACGGCCCTGCTGCAGCAGTCTGTGCTTGGCTTCCCGAGACAGACGACATATCAGATCTGTAGAGACGTATATCCGTAGATGTAACAAGTGTATAAACGGTAGTGGTCGAGTCGAAGTGGCTGAGTGCCAGGGTACATCCTTTTATGGAAACCCAATTGGCGCTGGGATCGGTACACCACTAGTGGCACACGACAGCACACGACAAACGCTTCCACCTTGAATTTATGTGACTGTGCTATTTGAAGGAGAGCAGTATCACACAGGCGTCACAGATTAGCACTGCAAGAGAAGATGACCACAGGCTCGTTAATTAGCAGTGATCATTGGTTGCGGGTAGACGTCGCGACTCGCCTCAGTGTTACTTAGTATACTGTATCGGGCCGGGATCTCGGCCAGACAGGGTACTCGGTCAGTCGACCACCATGGGCTCATTCCTAAAGTTAATTACAAGAAAAACATATCAGGAGGTAGAGGAGGATTGTGAGAGACGACTGGTATGCGTAATCTGTCGTAAGACTGGGAACTGAGCCTACGGCACTCGACTGACCGAGTACCATGTCCGGCCGAGATCCCGGCCCGATACAGTAATGAAACGGACCAAATTCAAAGTTGTTCGAGTTCCCTAATCGTAATACACCTAATCTTTGGAATACAGACACAACAGGGCTACTTATGGCTAACGACGATGCTCCACGATGGGAATCTCGAGATATGTAACCGATGAACGTTACATCCGCGTGTCGGTACCATAAGTTTGCCCTTCAATTGCAAGTTGTGGGCTAGGCGATGAATTCCAATGACTCTGAGGCCTGGAGTAATGATCATACCCCTGTGAGCGGAATCCGCCATGAAGAAGGATTATAAGACTCCAATCACCTCAGATATGGCATCGTTGATCTTGCCCCTTGACACAGACATAAAGCTCTGCAAGTCGGCCCATGCGCGCTCTCCGCAATAAGCACATTTCCCTGCATCAACTAGAGCTGTTGTGATGGCAGTTTGCGATGGGACCCCTTTCCCAGTCCCGGACGGCCTGTCCTTCGCCAAGTTTCGGAACGTCTGCGCGAAATCGACAAACCAGGCACTAATTCGTCGGCAATTTTCGAGGCTCTTATAAGTGCAGCCTTTATTCGCCACATCGACCGTGACACTATGGCATTTGCGCCAACACCGTTCGTCCCAGGTTGAGTCTAGACCGGTATTGTAGCGAACAAAACCTGTTGGACTCGGACTGAACACCGATGATGGTAGTCCAAGAGACGGGCGTAAGCGGAGCCACTGATGTGGTCTAGTTCTGGTGTGTGGATGTATGCGGTTTGGATGGGCTGGTCGAGAAATCCTCTGGCGGCAGCACGGGTTAAGTGTTCGCCCAGTTGATGGTGTATGGCGAGGCAGTACACGCGCAGAGGTGAAGTCCCGATGAACACTTCCAGAGTTAGTGTGAGGTAGTCCACCATCTGATCCATCGCATACTTTCTCGCCGCCGGCAATAGAACCGAGATATCATCGAGGCCCATTTCCCGCAATCGTCGACCGGCCGGATAACAGAACCGCAGTAGGCCATCCACCGTGGTACTGTCCTCCTGCATCGGGACGACAGGCAGATCCGGACTCGTACAGGCGTGGTTCTCGGTACTCCCGGTGGGCAGACTGAACATGGTCTCGAAGAAAGGAGACGCTTCAGCGAGGATGGCTTTCCGGACGCGGAAGTTCACGCTGTCAGAGGATTGCAGGATAACGTCCGCATGCGGACTGTTGAAAGGGGGAGGTGCATCGGTCGGCGGGGCGATGCCATTCGTGCCGTTGGACGTCGTTTCTTCGCCATCGAGGATGCTAGCTTCAAGCTGCGGTGAGTGCATCACTGGCATTATATCATGGGTATTAGCGACACAATTGGGCTTGTCATAACTATATTCACTCTCACGTACTCCAGCCAGCAACGTAGGCCTATAGTAGATCTCTGGTCCAGGTTTCCGGCTAGTCGATGTGATCAACAGCGCAGAACAATCACGACAGGATGACTGTGCGGAGCTGACGGACGGCACGGTGCAGTATATGCAGACAAGGATGAGATGCAGCAGCACTGTGTAAGGGCCCGGCCCCGGGGGTGCGTTCGGTATGTAGTGCGGATTCAAGGAGCTGTTCTGAAGCTGTTGATGAGAAGCCTCGTGGCAAATATGTTCGCACAACGAGGCATATGTAGAAGCGCGCGTGACGGAGTTTAACCACTGGCCCTGTAGACTGGGATTCAGTCACCTTGTGCATTCTAACACGAACCGCAAAGGACGCGGCCACACGTATACGTACTACTGTACGCGGTGAGTAGACGATGACTCGGACGATAGTACTTATGTAGATGATACCAATGACTGCCCAAACTCGGAGAACCCGGGAGTCCAGCGTGCAACAAATCGCCTCGTCCACGTCCAGCTCAGTGCTTCATTCTCCATCTGCATACCAACATACTCAAACCATACTTTATATACACCAGAGCAATCCCAGTTAATCAACCAGAGTTCTCCGGCGATGACGGTGCGCACAGGAGATCACCGTCACGGTGAGTCATGATAAGGGCCGCTGGGCCGCTCTAGTCGAAGCCATGGTCTAGCAAGTTGAAGATTCATGAATCTTCCGAGGTCCGGAGGCTTCGATTATACCAACCCGCCCTATCGGGTTGCGACGCGAAAGGACCGACATAGCATTCGCCCAGGGAGGAGCCATAGCAAGGGAGGGGCTCCGCCATGTTGCCAGTCAAGGGCCCAGGGACTTGAGCGACTGTCTGCTGGCTCGTATTCGCCGCAGCTACCGGACGTAGCTGGGTAGTGTCCACGCAGCTAAAGCCTTTCTCCAAAAGCTGCGTTGGCCCCATCTAGCGTTCGTCCTTCGATGAAATCCATGACGTGGTAAGCACAACCACCTTTGATGGAAATGACCGTAGACTTTCGGCCTGGCGATCGATGTCTTCTCGCGAAGTATCTCCATAGCGCGCGCCTCTCAATGCTGTAGGTATGTGTATACTTTGAATTTGACTAATCGCGACTCGGATCGACTGAGGCGGACGACCGTTTGTTGTCTTCATCATACTGCCAGCGCCGTGTTCAACGCACTCAGCTGCCACGATGTCGTGTGCTAAGGTCAACGTCGTATTCATGGGCCGCTTGATGGGGCCGTTCACCTGGACCGGTGAACCCCCGCAAGTTTCCCTGTTCCATTGTCAAACTGTTAATGACAATGATTAAGGCAGTGTTAGAGGCTACGCTACCTCTGCTTCGCTCACGCCGCGCTTGTCAATTCTCAGACGGAGGAAACCAAGCGGCGTCACTGTCGAACCTTCAATCGGTCGGACCGCGTTGGCCGTACGCAGGAGACTGTCGAACGAAACCTTCACGGACCGCATGGGATGGCCAGAATGTGATCTGTCAGCTCGTGGGTTCCGCTAGTCTTCGTTTGCTGACCAACTCATGCAGGAAGGCGGCGCATAAGTTATCTGCCCGCTGGAGCACAGTTGCGACGCGTAGCGACTTTCACACCGAGCGCATGTAGTGGTCAGCCTTCGGCAAGGCTGACACAAGGATTGCACACGCCACCAGCATATCGCTAGTACATGCATGTCCGTGAGCGACAAGGACTGACAATCAAGGGAGGACTTATGTATAAGGGCCGCCGACCGAAGGCGTGCATCCATCTAGGCTTGAGTGCCTTCAACCCCATATGGTTGGGTTCAAGACCACCAATCTCGCCATCAACAGTCAGCGATGGCATAGTACCGCTTCCAAACTCTGGTCGAGATCGGTCCTCCTACTAGCATAGCCCACTGGTGTTTGAAGCTTCGCACTACGTCAAGCAGGCCTAGTATGAAACTTTTAGACGTTCCATAGTCTAGAGCGCACCAGGTCTAGTCTCTTGCAAGTCAGATAAACACAGGACAAGGAATGCGAAAGAGGAGAGCAACAACTTGATGATTCAGCAGAGAGCGCACTGTGATAACGTTTCACGGCATCGTGAAGAAACAGACACCGAATACGTACCTTCCGTTGCCTGATGAGTGAGCATCTTTCTTTCTGCATTGAGATCGCTCCCTCGAGCTTGTATATTGCATGGCGTGATTTCTCAGTACGTCTGCGCCAGCACCGCTTCGCGAAGTGATACTAACCAAGAACATTGATGACTCAGCTTAATCCTTCGCCGACCGTCACGGCATATTGATAGTTGGAACGGTACATGTATACCATTAGTGAGCAGGGCGCTGAACGCGCAAATGCGTACATATGCCACTCACCCTACGCAACGTTGTTCATCCACCGCTATCACTTTCTAGATTGAGATGGCAGATATCGCACCGGTCGCTGCACCGAATACGTCGTACTTCACGCCGGCCCAGAATCCGCCTGCGGGGACGGCGTTCGACCCTCATCCCGATGGGAAGCCTATCCCCAAGTTATTTCAGCCTTTGCAAATCCGCGGTTTACGGCTGCAGAACCGTATTCTGGCGAGTCGCTCGCTGACATCATTGCTTCTGCGCGCCATACTGACGAAACGATATCCTGCGCAGCTCTCACCCATGGTCACCCAATCTGCCGAAAACGGTATAGCCACACCGTACCACAAGACGCACTGTGAGTAGTCAACGACGCCGGACTGACACAGAGCACTGACATGCGATTCAGTTGGAAGCATTTTGACCTATGGGCCCGGCCTCAGCTTCATCGAGGGCACAGGCATGGCTCCCGAGGGACGAGCGTCGCCGCATGACGTTGGCCTCTGGGACGACTCCCAGATAGCGCCCCTTCGTGAGCTCGTCGAGTACGCCCACTCGCAGAACCAGAAGATCGGCATCCAGTTCAACCACTCCGGACGCAAGGGATCTACGGTGCCGATTTGGCTCGCGCGCCATGCGATCGCGACAGAGGCCGTTGGCGGCTGGCCGAGCAAGCTTGTGGCGCCATCGGCTCTTGCGTTTAGTCCGGGTGACCCCGTCCCACGGAGCTTGATGAAGGGGGATACAGAGGATCAAGGACGCGTGGGTGGACGCTGCAGCGCGCGCTGTGAAAGCCGGATTCGATACGATCGCCATCCACGGCGCGCACGGTTACCTGCTGCATGAGTTCATGAGCCCAGTGACGAACAAGAGGACCGACAAGTACGGTGGATCGTTCGAGAACCGCATACGACTCGCCGTCGAGGTTGTAGATGCCGTGCGGGCGGTGATTCCGGAGGACATGCCTCTGTTCTTCCGGTGAGCGATACGTTGTTGTCCGCCTCGCGTGACTGAGACCTCGCAATCAGCGTCTCTGCCACGGATTGGCTGGAAGAAGTCGCACCCGACGAGCCTTCGTGGCGATGTGAAGACACCATCAGACTCGCTGAGGTCCTCGCGGAGCACGGCGTAGACGTCTATGACGTCTCTTCCGGAGGCCTTGACCCACGACAGAAGATCACGTTCGCGGAGCCCGCATACCAGGCGCGCTTTGCCGTAGCCGTCAAGGAGAAAGTCAGTGACAAGATCCTCGTGGCTAGTGTCGGCGGCATCAAGCACGCTAGCGTCGCCCAGGACGTCTTGGAGAGAGGTGTTGACATGGTGCTCGTCGGCCGACAGTTCCTGCGGGACCACCAAACAGTGTGGACGTTCGCAGAGCAGCTTGGGGTGGAGATAAAACTGCCCAGTCAGATTGCCTGGGCATTCCCAAGGAGAGGTAAGTAGCTAGCAAGCCAAGATTTTCAAAGAGAAGACGAGGGAGTACACTGCGAGTAGCTCATAGTGCTGCAGGATGCATGAATCATAACATCGTTCGCCACGTGACCGCGTATTTCGCGACGCGACGCGTCTTTTAGGCGTCGAACTTCGACGCGGAGATATTCATTTCAGGTGCTGCAACTTGAGTCAGAGACTCAGGTGTGTTACTTCATACACACTCAGTGACTAAGAGTGTACTTTAACCTATCATCTGGTATGCTGGTACTAACATCGTGAATCTGCACCGTGCACGTTTCAGACCGTAATTACTTGAGGTTAATCACCCAGCGGGTTTGCAGGGCACATTCAGACTCCGCTGTGGCGCGGCCTCCCGTACGCGCACAAGTCGCGCGTCGCGCCCTCTTAAGTAGAGTCGCCAACGCCGTACGCAGCCTAGAACCTACCGCGGGGGCGGGCACAGCGACGAGTGGACGGCTGGGAATGGTGCGGCTGGCGGGGGCGGGCGGGGGCGAGGGCGAGGGTGAGGGCTAGAGCCGTGTCAATACACAATTCTAATATATTTGTTAATGCTCTATACACTCGCGCTATACGATCGACACTAACGTCGATCAATCAACACTCTATGGTCATTACAGAATACTTCAGTACTATTAGTCCGACGTGCGAGTCCGCGCCGCGCGACTCGGACTCCAGCGCATCGCGCACATCAAAGTACTACCTTCCAAGTTGTGGCCCACGACACTCTCGTCGGCTGCGTTTGCACGCGGGGCACTGGCCCTATGTGCTCGTGGTCGGCGTGTTGCGCACGCCCCGGCCCTGCTCAGCGTCGTCGTTGTCTCCCATCCTGAGCTCGCGCACGCGCTCCGTTCGTCCGCCATGATTGCGTGCTGGGCATTCGTCCAGCACGCTCGTGGTCGGCGTGTGTGTCGTCCCCTGCTTGTGTGCCCGCTGACCCGCCCGCCCACTCGCTCGTGTGCCTCCTCGTGTGCCTCCTCGCCCGCCTACTCACCCGCCTGTCAACCCGTGTGCCTGTCTGCTCACCTGCTCGACCAGTCACTCATGTACTACTTGCCTGTTCACCGGCCCGCCCGCCTTCCCGCTCGCGTTGCGCGCGTTCGGTGGCTGGACATTTGCCCAGCGCGCTCGCAGTCAGCGTGTATGCTGGCCGCCCGCGCGCGCGCGTCCGCTCGTCCAGTGGTCCAGCCGTCCGTTGGCCGTGCCTGCACGCAGGGCAGAGGACCTGCGTTCTCGCGGTAACCGTGCGAGTCGTGCTGCACGTTGCCGCGTCCTGTACCTGCGTTAGTGGGGTCGCTCGCGTGCGTTTGCGCTCACCTATGGGGACTCGCTCTCGCCCTCCCCCGCCAGCCACTCACCCTTCCCAGCCGTCCACTCTTCACTGTGCTCGCGCCCGCAGTATGTTCGTGGGCTGCGTACGGCGTTGTGCGTTTGCGCTCACCTATGGGGACTCGCTCTCGCCCTCCCCCGCCAGCCACTCACCCTTCCCAGCCGTCCACTCTTCACTGTGCTCGCGCCCGCAGTATGTTCGTGGGCTGCGTACGGCGTTGGCGACTCTAAGAGGGTGCGACGCGCGACTTGCGCGCGTACGGGAGGCCGCGCCACAGCGGAGTCTGAAATGCCCTGCAAACCCGCTGGGTGATTAACCTCAAGTACCGTAATTAAAGGTGCGTACTTTTGCGGTCCACAAGAAATCGCCTGAGCTTCATACCCAATGAAAAGCGCATCTGCTGGGAGATGCCCGGAGCTGCTCTGAGCTGCGCGCGTCGTCGGAATCTGCTCGAATCTGCTCCGAGCTGCTGACGGCTTACAGTAAAGTCACTAAATGACAGCTTCTCCACGAGTTAACTCATAATATCATTAGAGCTTAGTGTCTTTTGCTTCTGACTTGGGGCTGTAGCCTAACGATACCGCTGTCGAGTCTGCCCCCTTGCGTTAAGCACTTACGGTCGCACCGCGCGATGCGCATTACTTATAGCAGTGATATTCCCGCCCACTCTGGTATGACGTAATCTCATTGCAGCGACGGCCGTCGTCGTCGTCTTCCTGCCCTCGCCCCTCTCTCTCAGGCTCTTACCACCACCATCACCTAGCTTGTTCAATTTCCCGCTGCTTGTCTACTGCCCGCCTGCCGTGGCGGCCTTGCGCTTACCTGCTCACTTCTCCACCTGACTACACACTTGTCCGCCCGTTCGCCCTCCTGCCAGTGTATTGCACGTCTCATTCGCTTACGCGTCTTTCGCTCGCCCACGCATCTTTGTGACTTGCCACGCGCCTTCTTCAAGTGCCTGACCGCACACCTTTTTGCTCGCCTGGCATCCTGCCCGCATGTCTCATTCACACCTTAGCTGACTGCCCACTTGCCCGTTCGTTCCCTAACTGGTTGACTCACCCGGCGCCCGCTCACCGACCCGCTCATCCATCCGTTGGCATGATTCGCGCGAGACCCGTGAACGTCGTTGTAAGGATCGCTGGCGCGCCGAGCAACGCGATCTGCGTCCCGTAAGTGTTTGTGCACCCCTGCCCATTTCTTCGCTTGCCCATTTCTTTGTTCGCCCATCTCTCTATGCTCGCCCGCCCGTCTCTACACTCGCCCACCCATCTCTCTATGCTCACCCGCCTGTCTCTACACTCACTTACCCGTCACTACATTTGCTCACCCGTCTCTGCACTTGCTCGCCCATCTCTGCACTTGCTCGCCCGTCTCCATGCTCGCTCGCCCGTCTGTGTTCGCCCGCCCGTTGACCCCACTGCAGAGACGATGCTGAAGATCGGCGAGCGGGCTTATCCTGTGGATCCCTCACGCGACCCGCGAAGACAGAGGGGCTGCAGCAAAATAGCCGCGCCGCTCGACGTCGGGCAAGACGACGATCCGCTCGCCCAGCAGATGGTCGCGCTCAAACAGGAAGACGCAGCACACGGCGGCAGAGTCAGTACCAGCCACAGGGCGCGTATCCGGATTCCAGCCCGTCGCCAACGAAGCGGGACGCCACGGCGAACAAGCTGTCGCCGCCGCCAGACGGATCGAGCCGGAGTGGTCGCAGGAACTCGGTCGACTATCGTCGCTCCGCGGAGATCGTCGCCGGCGCGGCGCTGCCAGCGTCCGACTGGCGTTCGACGTCGCCAAACCCGTACCCGAAGCACATGCTCCCGCCGTCAAATGTAGGTCCATCGAAATTTGCCCGTGGAGGAGATTTCGCACGACTACGAGCAGTCGTTCCCTGGTGAGCGCAAGTCCATAAGCCGGCTGGGTAGTCGTCCTGGGAGTGTTATTGGGCTGCCAGGGCAGGTCCGAGCCCCAGCCAGAGAACATCAGCGCCCGACGAGCCACAACAGTGTTGGCATCGTGCTCGACCCCACAGGTCGTGTAGCACTCGACGAGATGGCGAACAGGTAGTACCAGCTGCCGCCGCCACACATCGCGATTCGTAAGGCGAACAAGGTGTGTGCGAGCTCGATTGAACTGAATCAGCAGGAGCCGGTCGCGTTGGTGAATCAAGGCAAGAAATCCGAGGTGAAGTGAAGCGCAACTGCCAAGACTCGGAAATGTCGGCAAGTGGCCGGCGTATGCGAGTGAGACGAAGGCGTGAAACGGGCGCGAGTGCGGTACGTAGGAAGCGGGCGGGCGTAGTATGCAGGTGGTGTGTGGGGTGGTTGGGCGGGAGCGTGTGGGCGTGGTATGCAGGCGGCGGGCGTGGTATGCGGGCGGTATGCAGGGTGTGGGCGCGCAGGCGCGGTATGCAGGGCGCAGGCGGCGCAGGATGCGGGCACGATAAATGTATTATTCTTATGGCAGCTAGTGCAATACAGGAGCATCTAGCAATATGCCCGGATCTGCTCCCAGCTGCATACGCGTAATTTTCACGCTCAGAGCAGCTCCGAGCATCTAGAAAAATGCGAAAAGTCTAAATTTCTTGCTCCAGGCTGCTCAGAGCTGCTCGCAGATGCTCTTTTGACAGCGGCCCCACCGCGCAGCTCAGAGCAGCTTGGAGCATCTCCCAGCAGGTCTGATTTCCACTGGGCTTGATACTTGGCAGTTCGGCCGACGCGTCAAGACTTGTGAGACATGCCGTTTATGGCGCAGTGACTTGATGGCTCTGGAGTGCACTCGGACGCGTCACAGCGGCTGACGATCGATCGAAGACGGTTGACGGTTGAAGATCTAGAGGGCCTGTCGAAGGCCTCTGTCCCGCGCGTTCACCTTCAGCCTTCGCGCGTCCGTTGTACACACCTTCAGAACTGGTCCCTGCCACCTAACTGGATGAGTCGACTCGCACAAAGTATGGCATAGCCTGGAGAGAACAAATACTGCGTGCACCAGGCATATGCGCGGTGACGAGGCTCAGATTCCGTGAGCCACAACCGACGTCGGCTGACCCAGCCAGCTTGAACGATCGCCAGCCAGCCTCCACACCTTCGACCATGCCTCGTCAGCCGTCACTGCTGGGCATCCGCTGAGCTTCTCGACAGACAGCCCCCGTCAGCCGCCCGCCCTTCAGCCCACATATAAAAGGCGGGCAGGAGGGCGCGGTCTCCCTCGTCGGTTCTCCGTCAGACACCACATCTCCTACTATCCCCCCGCTCCTTACAGCTTCCTTCTTCCCCCCTCCCCGCCCCCACACTCTTTTACAGCCATGTTCACGAAGACTTTCGCCGCTCTCATCGCCGCCGCCGTCGTCCTCGGCGCGCCCACCCCAGGCCCCGCACCCACCCGTAAGCACCCACCCCTTTCCTCACCCACAACACTCGAGTACCAGACTGACTCACCGGCGTGCGCAGAGACGAACGTCCTCCAGTTCGCGCTTTCGCTCGAGTACCTCGAAAGCGCGTTCTACTCGGGCGCGCTTGCGCAGTACGACGCGCAGGCATTCGCCGACGCCGGCTTCCCCTCCTGGGTCCGCGGCCGCTTCGAGCAGATTGCTCAACACGAGCAGACCCACGTCTCGACCCTCCAGAACGCCCTCGGCGACCAGGCACCCCAGGCCTGCCAGTACAGTTTGTGAGTCGCGTGTACTGTTGATCGGCTAGCGGGAGGCTGACAGATGCGGAAAGCCCGTACACGGACCCACGCTCGTTCGTCTCGCTGTCGTTTGCGATCGAGGGCGTCGGCGCCGCGGCATACCTGGGCGCCTCGAAGTTCATCGACGACAAGGATACGCTCGGCGTAGCTGCGGTACGTGCAACGGGGCGCTGCCTTTTTCCGGTGCTGACGATGTCGTGTAGTCCATCCTTTCTATTGAGGAGCGCCAAGTCGCATGGGTCTCGTCTGCCGTCCTCAAGCAGCAGCCCTGGGACGGTCCCTTTGAGACGCCGCTCTCGCCATCTGGTGCCTATTCTCTCGCCTGTAAGTGCCCATTCCTCAACTATATGCCGGAGACTCATCGTTATCCAGCACAATTCATCACCTCCTGCCCGTCCTCGAACCCGCCGCTCCCTGTCACGCCGTTCCCCGCCCTGAGCGTCTCCAACGCCAGCCCGTGGCCAGGCTCGACGATCAACTTGACGTTCGACAACTCAAACAATGCGGATGCCGCGTACGCCGTCTGGCTGAATGGGCTCGACGCAGTCTTCACGCCGCTCGATGGCAACGGCCAGACGACGGTCCCGGACGGCCTGCACGGGACTGTATACGTGGGCGTGGCGTCGAGCGAGCAGACGCCGATGAGCGATGCGAGCATGGTGACGGGGTTGGCCATCGTGCAGATGCCGTTTGACTCGACGGCGGTTGAGGCCTAGTTGAGGGGTTACAAATGCGTAGTCACTGTCGGCCTGAGGATGTGGTTTTCCGGTTCTTTCGGGATTTGGGTTGGATTTGGGAATGAATAATTTTCCTTTATCTTATCGGTCCGGGATATCCCGTCAAGATCTCGTCGCCAACCAAATCGGGCCGACGACGTTGACGAAATCAGACCCTTCTCCTTCTCCTCCTTCTGCTCGTCGTCGTCGTACGGTCGACAGTAACCTGAACTATGACTTGATCACATACTGGACACTGGGTATTGACAGAACTCCATTCGACTGCATCTACCTTGGCATTCTAATCGAGGATCCCGGGCATGCCGTCGTGCACCCCATCGAGCGCGAAGTGCAAAGCCTAACTTACGACACTCGCCGGACACTCGTAGGCCTGCTGTCCACCACGTAGCAGAGAGTTCAGGAGTACCCTGCGATGCATCACCCACCAACTTTCCACAAACATCAGCTCCGCCACGGATTCAACTTCGGAAGCCTGTCCATACCAAAACGCAACTGGGGAAACTGGAGGCTCCCTGGTGTTCGATCATGTAGCTTGCTGCCGCAGCGACGACGTGTGAGGACTCAGACTCTCGAGCGTGCTATCGCTGTCAACCGTCGAGATGGTCTCTCGTCGGTCTTTCCGACGCATATACCCCAGTCATATTCCCAAGGGAATATCCATACAAATTCAACGTTCGTTCTTCCTCTCGGTTTGAGGGTGCCTCACTATGGGCTTGGTCAGTGTGCGTGTGTTGCCCCGTGAGCGGGTGAGTGGGCGTTGACGCTGTACAGTCTGTAAGTAGCTGATTAGATACTTAGTCCTTAGGCTGGCATGGCCGCAGGCCGAGGTGACCGAAGGCCGAGTTGACCGACCAGGTCTCTCCTCGCAGTCTTGGCGATGACGCGCGACCTCAAACCCGTCGGTGAGTCCAAAATAGCTCTGTGGCACAAGTCCACCGTGACGCGCCTCTGCATCCGCACAGGGTCTGGATCTTTATGCCCGCCGGACTTCGGATTTACGGTATCACTGGAAATGGAGGCACCGATCAGCCTCTCCTGGAGCCAGCGCATGCACGGTGTCGATCTGGAGATGAGATGGAAGGAGCGCATACGCGGATGGGACGGCCTCATTGACAACATCATCCGCTGATCCGTCCCCGACGTTAGGCTGGACGCCCGGGCTTCGCGGGAAGAGTTGTGGTTGCCTGGACTTTGGACCGAGGGCGGTGTTTTAGTCGACATCACCTCTGTCAATGTTGTTGAAGCGCGGACGAAGAGTACGGACGCCCTGAAGGAAAATCAGCTCTGCTACGATCGGCAGCTACCGAGTCGCTCGCATTACCGAATGTGCACGAGTGGCACGACGGTTCGCGGGTCAGCTACAGTACGCACTCTTCGCTCGTGCTTGTCATGCAATGGCGTGTGCTCCTCCAGATGCTGTTGACGAATTGGAGAGGCGGCGCGGCCTGCGAAGAGTGCCTCAGGTGCATGCCACCGAGAGATGGGTCGGGGCAAGAAGCGTATACTGGCCAATGGGCGGCGGCCGAGGGGTGATCAGAAGGCGAAAAGACGCGCCACCGTCATAGGCTCCTCCCTCGCCCGAGCAGCCCGCCAGCGACGTGGACGGGAATATCTTCAACGACTCGGGCACTCTCGCGGACTGCACGCGGGCAGGTGTGCACCAAAAGCGATGCCCGAGACGCACGGTGCCTGCGCGATGCATCGACAATGACGTCCATTTACAGCGAGAACACTCGGGAGACGTTTCGGCCGACCGCGGCAAGAAATGAGATTGGGATGACTGGTGGTGCGGATACGTTTGCGAGACGAGCGGATGTGGACGCACTGGCACCTCTTCCACTTCGCTTCCGCGCGCGTAGTTTGCTGATAGATCCGCGCCATCGCTACGGCAGATCGTGCTCTGCTATAAAGCGAGCAAGGGACAAAGGCTCCTCCAGCTTGCTTCGGTGGTTCTCTAGTAAATTAGCTTGTCGGTCTTCTTCCTCCATCATGCTGTTCCCGACCGTCCTCCTTGTGATCTCCTCTGCATGGCTCGCCGCTGCCGCGCCTGCCCGCCGCAGCGCGCCCGCCGCCGTGACAGGTACGTCTCCTGTTGTACATCATGCGCCCTCGTCGTGCTGACCTCGCGCGCAACAGACACGAGCATCCTGCAATACGCGCTCACGCTGGAGCACCTCGAGCACACGTTCTACGTGCAGGGCCTCGAGCAGTACGACGCGCAGGCGTTCTGCGACGCAGGGTACGAGCCCTCGGTTCGCGGCCGCTTCGCCCAGATCAGGGAGAACGAGCGCGCGCACGTCGAGTTCCTCACAAGCCAGCTCGGTGCGGACGCCACGGCGCCGTGCAACTATTCCTTGTGAGTAGCTGCGTAGGCGCGCTGTTGCGGTGAGCAGGAGCTGACATCGGCCGAGTTACGCAGCCCGTACACGGACATCCCCTCGTTTGTGGCGGTGTCGCAGACCCTCGAAGAGGTCGGTGCGGCAGCGTACATGGGCGCAGCGATCTCCGTCGAAAGCCGGGACGTGCTGTCTGCCGCACTGGTAAGCCCTCCACCGCCGGCTGGCCCACGCGACGCGACACTGACGCGCACCCTGCATAGGCCATCTCGCATACCGAAGCGCGCCAGGCGGGCTGGGTCAGTTCCGCCGTCCAGAAGGAGCAGCCCTGGGACGGCGACTACGAGACGCCCCTGTACTTCAGCGGCGTGTGGTCTCTCGCATGTGAGCCGTGCCCCTCGCTCCACGAGTACGTATGTGCTGACCGGTTCTGCAGCGGGCTTCATCACCTCTTGCCCCGCGACGAACCCCGACTTACCTGTGCAGACCTTCCCCGCACTGACGCTCACGCCCGCCATGCCTGTGATGGGCCAGAACGTGAGCGTGTCGTACAACAGCACCGGCGCGCCCATCTCCGCCGACGGGGAGACGTGGCTGGCGTGGTACCACAACATGAACACGACGTTCACCGCGATCGGCGCGGACGGTGTCACGACCGTGCCGGACGACCTGCGCGGGACGGTCTTCGCGGGCGTGGTGAGCAACACGACCGTGACGAGGGACGACGCGACGATGTTGAGCGGGTTGGCGGCCTTGTCGTTCCCGTATAACTCGTCCACGGTTGTTGACGCGTGAGGAGTAGTAATCCTGCGCGTTTGGTTATGGGAGTCCGCGGTGATCGCAAAAATGTTGTTGGAACAGGGTGTTGGGTGCGGAAAGGACTGGAGAGGTAGCTTCTGCGTGTACTGTAGTTCAAGTTGTAGTTTTCCAGTTCTCTTGCGGTTTGCGTTGGATTTGAGAATGTATAATTCTCCTTTATCTTATCGGTGGTCCGGGATACCTCGTCAAGATCTTATCACCAACCAAATCGGGGCGATGAGCTTGAGTTGAAGTAAAGCCCCTGGATCCTCCTCCTCCTACTATCCCGTAACCTGAACTGTGACTTGTACATACACACACTGGGCATTGGGAATCGACACGACTCTACTCGACTGTATCTGCCTTGTCTTGACATTCCATCTAGGGACTCAGACATGCCATCGCGTCCGTCTGGAAGTGCGCAATACGGTATCTGCTGTTCACCACGTACTAGAGCGCTTGGAAGGGACCTGCGATTGACTAGTGCTTTCCACAAAAATCAGCTCCACTGCCTCGGAAGCCTGTTCATGCCAAAACTCAACCGGTGAAACCGGAGAATGCCTGGTGTTCTCGTTCATGCAGCTTGCTGCCGCAGCGACGTCGGGTGAGGACGAGTACATGTTATCATTGGCAACCGTCGCGGTAGTCTCACGTCGGTGTTTTCGACGCATACACCCGGGTTTTACTGCCAAGGGGACATTCATCCAACAAGCAATGTCGTTCTTCCTCTTGAAGTCTGACTCGCACGCTGTCGCGCCCACATTCCATGGACTGTCAGCGGTGGAGTTGCGGATACTGACCAGTGTGCGCGTGTTAACGTTGCTTCTTCAGCCGGTGAGTGAGGCGTCGACGCAGTACACAGCCTGTAAGTAGTTGATCTACTTAGTCCTCAGGCTGGCACCGTAGGCCGACGTGACCTACCGTGACTCAGGCAGTTCTGCAGTGCCGCACTACTCGCGCTGCTACGGCAGCACGGAAAGCGCGTGCGGGAAAGGAAGAACGGAGGGGAGGTCTCTCGTATGTAGTCTCGGCCATGACGCGCGACCTCACAACATGCAAGCTCATTGGCAAGTCCAAAATAGCTCTGCGGTCCAAGCTCGCCGTGACGCGCACAGGTTGAGGATGACTCCAATATGGTCGGTTTTCGTCGGACACGGACACGACGACGGACTGGCGACAATCGAAAACAAGGCCTTCAAGTTTCAAGCTTGAGGCAAGCTTGAGGTCTCGGACCAGACTCGGGCCCCAACCCTCCCCGGGCCCCCGCCATCGACCGCGTGCAAGGCGATGTCTCAGCAATATTGGCTCCTATCGATCCGGAGAGACGAGATGGAAGAAACATATACGGGGGATGGGACGGGCTCATCAACAACGTCATCCGCTGATCCGTCCCCAACGTTAGACTGGACGCCCTGGCTTCGTGCGAACAGTTGGGGTCGCTTCACGTAACGTTGCGTAGCGTTGCGTGGGCTTTGTACGTTTGGACCGAGGGCAGTGTTCTAGTCGACGCCACCGCTGTCAACATCGCTGAAGCGTGGATGAAGGGTATGGACGCCCTGAGGCAAACGTGGCTCTGCCACGCTCGGAAGCCAGCGAGTCGCTCGCATTACCGAACGTGCTCGAGTGGTACGACGGTTCGCGGGTCAGCTGCAGTACGTGCTGACTGGCACCGGCCCTTCGCTCGTGCTTGGCGTGTGGCCCTCCAGGTGCTGTTGACGAAATGGAGAAGCGGCGCGGTCTGCGAAGAGTGCCTCAGGTGCATGCCACCGAGAGGTGGTGCGGGGCAAGAAGCGTATACTGGCCAATAGGCGGCGGGAAGATGAGAAGGCGAAGAGACGCGCCCGGCCCCCGGCGGCCGCGTCGACGCGGACGGGGATTCCTCCAGCAACTCGGGCACTCCTGCGGACTGCGCGCGGGCAGGTGTGCACTAGAGGCCATGGCGGAGACGCACAGTGCCTGCACGATGCATCGACAATGACGTCCATTCGCAGAGAGAACACTCCCGAGAGACGTTTCAGCTGGCCGCGGCAGCAAAATGGGATTGCGATGACTGGTGCGGTCACGTTTGCGAGACGAGCGCGCGCGCGCGCTCTAGCACCTGTTCCACCTGGCTTCTGTGCGCGTCTTCGGGCCACCCAATAGCCATGTCAGTGTGCTGATAGATCCGCGTCATCGTTACGATATATCGGCCTCCGTGCTCGTGCGTATAAAGCGAGCAAGGGCAGAAGCTCCTTCGGCTTGCTTCGCTAGCTCTCGAGTTTACCTGACGGTCTTCCTCGCGCGAACGACCATCATGTTGTTCCCGACCGTCGTCCTCGCGCTCTCCTCTGCATGGCTCGCCGCTGCCGCGCCGACTCGCCGCAGCGCGCCCGCCGCAGTGACAGGTACGTCTCCCACCGTACATCACGCGCCCTCGTACTGACGTCGCGCGTAACAGACACGAGCATCATGCAGTATGCGCTCACGCTAGAGCACATCGAGCACGCGTTCTACGTGCAAGGCCTCGGGCAGTACGACGCGCAGGCGTTCTGCGACGCGGGGTACGAGCCTTGGGTCCGCGGCAGATTCGCCCAGATCAGGGAGCACGAGCGCACGCACGTCGAGTTCTTGACGAGCCAGCTTGGTGCGGACGCCCCGGCGCCGTGCAACTACTCCTAGTGAGTCGCTTCGTGGGCGCGCTGAGCGGGAGCTGACTTTGGCCAGCCCGTACACAGATATTCCCTCGTTTGTGGCGCTGTCGCAGACCCTCGAGGAGGTCGGCGCTGCGGCGTATATGGGCGCGGCGATCTCTGTCGAAAGCCAGGACGTCTTGTCCGCCGCACTGGTTAGCCCCCTCGCCTGCTGGCCCACGCGACGCGACATTAACCCCACCCCGCACAGGCCATCTCGCATATCGAAGCGCGACAGGCGGGCTGGGTCAGCTCTGCCCTCCAGAAGGAACAGCCCTGGGACGGTGACTACGAGACACCCCTGTACTTCAGCGGTGTGTGGTCCCTCGCATGTGAGCTGCATCCTTCGCCCCGCCTATATCATTGCATGCGCTGACTCCCCGTAGCGGGCTTCATCACCTCCTGTCCCGCGACGAACCCCGACCTGCCCGTGCAAGCTTTCCCCGCGCTGACGCTCACGCCCGCCGCGCCCGTGATGGGCCAGAACGTCAGTGTGTCGTACAACAGCACCGGCGCGCCCGTCTCCGCTAACGGCACGACATGGCTGGCGTGGTACCACGACATGAACACGACGTTCACTGCGATTGGCCCGGACGGCATTACGACTGTGCCGGACGGCCTGCGCGGGACGGTGTTCGCGGGTGTGGTGAGCAACACGACCGTGACGAGGGACGACGCGACGATGTTGAGCGGACTGGCGGCCTTGTCGTTCCCGTATAGCTCGTATGCGGTCGTCGGTGCATGAGCGCTAGTCGGGCGTGTTCAATTGTGTGGGAGTCCACGGTGATAGCGAAAATATTGGTGCGGATCGGACTGGAGAGACGGCTTCTGCACGTACTCAGATGTAGTTGACGAACTTTCTATGCATGCACGTCTTGACTGACCGAACATTATCTTGTTTGTAATCAGATGTTCGGCGTGCAATCAGCGCCAGGCCGATGTTCCATCCCAGCGGGAAGCGTCGCGCGACGGATGGTGTGAGCGGAACGACCGTCCACCCTGCGTGTCCGGCGACGAACCCTCTGTGTATTCGAGGTTTATGTTGTCAGCCGAGGGACCTAAAGTCGAGTTCAGTGCAGTCAACGAGAGGGCAGGTCAGGATGCCAGTCGAATATTGTTCTTGTCACCATCATGAAGTGGTAGACTGTTTCCAGTGTGGTTTTGCAGCTCGGGTGGGCGTGCGTACGGGCCTTGCTGATCCTGCGCAAGAATCGCTGCAGCGGGATGATCAGGCTGCTCGGTACCTGTATGGGATAGTACGTATTGCCGCACACAAGACGATTGTCAGACAAGTTCTGCATTGACTTCCTCATGACACTGATGCGAATTTGTCTGCGATGGTACTTATGGCCCAGCACTTTGACATTGGAAGTGCATATTGCAGCATGAGGCGAGGTCGTGGATCCGTTGATCAGTCCAGATAGAAGGAGGATAGAAGCCTCTCCATCTCGATAGAGTAGTCAATAGAATCTGATACAATCTGGTCCTTACTGTGTTAGAAAGGAGTGTAAGGACGGTGTTACGATCGGTGCTAAGTGATTACAATCGATCGTTACCGGGTGGCGGCGGCGCGGCGTCAGCTAAATGGAGGCTGCAGGCAGGATGTAGCTGCTCAAGTTCCTCCTCCGCACCTTCACCTCTCCAAGCGGCCTAGCTTGTCGCTCTACCATAGGCCATGTTGTTCTACTTTCTGTTCAGAGTGGTTAGGTGCGTATGCGATCTAGTTCACATAACGAATCGCTAAGCATTACGCACCCAGTGCCACAACCGCCTTTCTCTATCCTGGGTATGCATCGTACAAGGTGCTCTCCCAACGGCCTGCTGCAGAAGAAGAGCTGGAGCGATGGCTGATGTACTGGAGTGTCCTCGGCTGCATCGTCGCGGTAGAATACGTCGCCGAGTGGCTCGTCTCCTGGTGAGTCCCCTTCGACCCCCACCGGATCTACTCCTCCTGACCCCTCACTCCGGAAGGCTCCCCTTCTACTACACCATCAAGACCATCTTCCTGCTCTACCTCGCCCTCCCGCAGACGCACGGCGCGACGTACCTCTACCGCGCGCACCTCCGCCCGTTCTTCGCCGCGCACGAGCGCGAGATCGATTCCGCGCTCGCCCAGCTCAAGACGTACATCTACGCGTCCCTCCAGCGCGTCCTCCGCGCCGCCTGGGAGCACGTCTCCGGCACGCTCCGCCAGATGAACATCCCCGTCGCAGGCCCCGGCTCCGGCTCCGGCTCGGACGCGAATGCGCAGGCGGGCGCAGCACCGCTACCTTCCCTCGGAGACCCCGTTTCGGGCCCTGCGCAGCTCGCCTCGGGTCTCTGGAGCACATATGGCCCTAGCGTCCTCGCGTCGGGCGCAGCGCTCCTCCGCCAGGCACAGGCGTCCGCCGCACAGGCCGCAAACGCCAACGCAGGTGGGCACGCGCGGCGAGACGAGCTCGCATCCGAGGCGCAGGCTCCGCCGTACGACCTCTCGGAGCCGGGCGTGCCGGTGGCCGAGGCGAACAACCCCTCGCGATCGTCATCGTCGGGCTCGCTCCGCCAGCGGACGGACAACGGGCGCTCGACCTTTGAGGAGGTCGAGGTGCCGAGTGACATGGAAGGCGAGGGCGAGGGTGAGGGACGCCCTGCGCCTCAGCAAAGGCGGACGAGCTGGTTCGGGTGGGGCTCGTCGGGCGGGTATGAGCGGGTGAAGAGCGAGTGAGATGATTGAGACGGCCCTGTGCGTGTGTAGATAACGGCGTGTACCATATAGCGGCGGACTTGCATCATGGATTCTGAGCGTGTAATACTATTCTACGGGCATGTATTTATTGTCTGTCTCTGCAATCGCTGTCGTGGTTCAGTCATCTTCGCTGGAACATCAAAAGCGGTCAGGGTCAGCCCGTACAACCGCTCAAGTGGGAAGTAGCACTGAGCGTGCACGGCCGACCATGTATTTCTCACCTTCACGAATGCATGCGGGTGAAGGCTCGCCCACGCCAGACCCATTGAAGCAATTAGATGTGACGGTTCATACGCAGCCCGTAGGTACAGGACACGAACACAGACTTCCACTATTCTATCGCACGCGCACGGCCAGCCACCACACTCAGAGCGCACTCGCACCTGAAGAAACACAACAAAGCTAAGTCTCGCACCGGTAGTTAGAGCGACTCGATGCTCACCAGTGATAATGTCGACAAGCTCGTTCGTGATGGAGGCCTGGCGACCACGGTTGTACTGCATCTGGAGCTTGCCGATCATGTCCGAAGCATTCTTGGACGCGTTGTCCATGGCGTTGCGACTATTGCACGTCAGCAGGGATCACATAATGCTACGCGGGGTCGACTTACCGAGCGCTCTGCTCGCATGCGTGGCCTTCGACGAGGGCAGCGTAGATCGCATTGGCGAGCGCGAACTCTGCGAGGTCCTTCGTGACTTCCTCCTCCATCTCATAGGCCTTGAAACCGGCTGAAACGTATGTTACGAGGTGTCACGCTGCCGTAGAAGAAATAACATACGCGAGCTCTTTAGCGTCTCCTCCGTCTCGACCTCCATGACGGCGGACTCGTACGAGATCGCAGAGACGAACTTGTTGTAGACGATCGCAATGCTGTCGTACTCGACGCCCTCCTTGATAATGAGATCCGCGACGCCGGCCGCATCCGCGAAGGTGGGGATGTCACGCCCGATCTGGTTGAAGCTCATGACGAGGTTCTTCCCGAGCGCACGGGAGAGCTGCGCCTTGGACTTGTCACCGATGACCATGATGGGCGAGTCCGGCTCGACGCCGTCGCCGTGTGCGGCGATGATCCGGCGTGTGGCCTTCGTGACGGAGGAGTGGATACCACCGCAGAGACCCTTGTCAGAGGAGATGACAATGAAGAGCTTGCGCTTGCTGGGCTCCTCGGCGGACGCGTGATGGAAGACCTCTGGGAAGGCGAGCCGCGGTCAGTAAGGTGCTGCGGTTTGTTTGTCGGACATTGACGAACCCGAGTTCGCAACACCGTACTGCTTGCCCGCCTGCATGGCACGCTGCGCCTTGTTGAGTTTTGTGGAGGCAATCATTTTCATGGACTGTAAATCAAGTTTTAGCGAAGTCGTGACGGAAGGAAAGGAAAGCGAGAGAGAGATGCAAGGTCACAATTCCACTTCTCGTCCGATGCGATGGGAGTAGCTTGTGCACTAGCATAGTGCTCCTCGGCTACTACTAGTGACCCTTGCCAGTTTTGAAGCCATGAAGTGGTCGGTGATCCCGCGCTGGTACCATACCGCAGAGCGCATGTAGAGTCAACCCGTCAGAGACGCATAGATCACACCGTACGGTCTATGTCCGGGCGGCATGGGCCAAACCCGACGTAACGAATGCTGTCTGACAGCTAAGTCTGCATCGTCGGACCCAGCGCCTCTCATAGGCGGGATCCAGCGGGTTTGATATGGGATCATGCCGGACGCAGCGGACTTCGACGGCCAGACTGAGCCAAGCGACCGCGACCTTTGCTACGGTAACCCAGGTTGAGCGACACAGTCCGGGTCGCTGAATACCAACGTCCGACAATGCCCGCTCCTAGTGGGGCCCAACGTTGTAAACCTAGCTGGAAAGCTTTTCGAACTTCACCCGCAAAGATCCTTCCCATGTCCCATCTTGTACTCCCTCGTAACGGTGCACAATACTCAAGGAATACTCACCTTGGTGATCTTCTCAATATTCCGTACAGACTTGAGACGCAGCTCAATCTCACGGAGGGTCGCCATGTTACGCGCACCAGCGGGAGCTGCGCCCAGCACTGGAGGCTGGGCGGTCAGACGAAGCGTGCTCCTGGCGAGCATGGTGGTCGACGACAGAAAGAAAGTGGTGGAGAACGAGTGCAACGTCGGCGACCGACACCGGGCCAGCGCGGAACCCCGTGGGAACATGAACCCTCGGAGTCCGAATCGAATTCATTGCGAATCGCCTCAAGAGGGGGGCGAGATCTGAATCGGAGACGTCCTCCTCACGAAAGGGGGGTGGGGGGGTGGTGTACGGGGTCCGGTTTTCAGCCACCAGCGTGAAGTGCAGTCGCTTTCGTTGAATTTTGTCTCTAGCTACTACATTCTGCACATCTCACTCTAGAAAACATGCATGTGTACTGAGAAGTATGCTAAGTACACGTGTAGGGTCCGAAGTCGACATAAACAAGGAGATCCAGAGGAGGAATTGAATAGTACAAAATGCGCTAAGTCACACGTGAAGCATACGGTCATGTGAGCTACGCGTCGGGTAAGTACGTGTGTTACATGGCGCGTGTCTCACTTGCATCAGTGACGCAAATTGGGCCAAAATGATTTAAAAAGATTACCGGGGATCGAACTAGCAACCACGATACCTACGGCGTCACTGTGCCCACTCCGTCACTCTGGCCTTACCACTTACTCAATATGCTTCCCTATGACAGTCAACGACGCCCCAGACATGACCTACTATGATTATGTGCCAACATGCACAGCGGGCGAAGGGTCAAATCATGGTTTGGCGAATACAATATGCTGTCACAGTGCCCAGAAGTTTTCTAGAAATCATTGAGGGATCCTCAGGGCACTTACAGCCTGCGGTCTCCAATGTCATATAACAGCACTTCGCTGGCGGCATTAGCAAAGGAGCTAGTCACCTGATATTGCCGAAGGAACTTCCTTTATAGGACTTGTACCTGGGCGCTCGTTATCGGGACCCCAACGGGAGCTCTGCCCCCGAAGACTGGGTACCCCCCCCCCCTACCCAGTCTTCGGGGTCTCTGGGATTTGGGAGGAGGACGTCTGGAATTTTGTTATCGCCCCCCTCTTGAATCGCCTGCCGGTCAATCTGGGCGCTTGTCGCTCGACCTTGACTCGAGCTCATCGCCGTAGACAGTGACCGCGCATATTTCGCCACCTCTCTCTCATATACTGTGAATATGGCGTCCGAGGAGCCCCTTTTCGACCCGTCGCTGAAGAAGCGCAAGAAGAAGACTGTCGCGTTCTCGGAGGATCCGCTCGGTGCTGAAGCCGATCCCACTGCGCCTCCACCTGCGACGATCGACGATACGACGGCCAATGGCGAGGCTGTAGATATGGGCCCGAAGACGATGCATGAGCAGATGAAGCAGAACGGCGATGTGGTTGCTGAGGACGGTGCTGAGGAGAAGCAGGAGGATGATGACCTGAAAGCGATGTTTGGTGATCTGAAGAAGAAGAAAAAGAAGAAGGATATTCCCATGGACTTGGTATGTCTATCGCATTCTCGCTGGAGACGTGAGTTCTGACGGTGTGATCAGCTAGAGGATAACTCGGGCACATCGACGCCTACTGCTGTGCCTACCGCTGTGCCAGCTGCAACTGAGGATCTCGACTTCTCTGACCTCAAGAAGAAGAAGAAATCGACGAAGAAGAAGGCAGCTCTGGACATGGAGGCATTTGAGAAGGAGCTGCATCAGGCAAAGGCGAAGGATGCTGATGAGGAAGAGGGCGGCGAAGATGTTGCTGCCGAGGTTGACGAAGTGGAGCTTGGCGATGACCCGTTTGCGCGAAACGAGGGCACCGTGAGCATGGACGTAGGCACCGAGCCATGGCTGAGCAGCGACCGCGACTACACATACCAGGAGGTAGGCCTGTCCTACCCGCTCAAGGGCCTCGTTGCTGAATATCTCTGCAGCTACTTCAACGATTCTACGTTCAATTGCACGCATCCAACCCTGCTCTGCTCAACTCTGCAGGCAAACGTTATACCATTGCGCCTCCGCAGATTCTGCGCGAAGGCAACAAGAAGTCCATCTTCGCCAACGTCTCCGACATCTGCAAGCGGATGCACAGGCAGCCAGAACATGTCATCCAGTACATGTTCGCAGAGATGGGTACTACCGGCTCCGTCGACGGTTCCGGTAGGCTGGTCATCAAGGGTCGCTTCCAGCAGAAGCAAATCGAGCACGTTCTCCGTCGATACATCGGTATGCATCGATTCATTGCTCACGGAATCTGGTACTCACACACTGTTTAGTCGAATACGTTACGTGCAAGACGTGTAAATCCCCCGACACTCTCCTCTCTAAGGAGAACCGTATCTTCTTCATGTCGTGCGAGTCTTGCGGGTCAAGGCGTTCCGTCGCCACCATCAAGACTGGTTTCCAGGCCCAGGTCGGGAGGAGAAGCAAAAACAAGACCGGTTGATTGGTCAGGCCTGGGAGGATGCTGTAGCCTATCGTGCCCCGTGCATATGTACTCACTGCATTTTATCGCACTCTGACACTGTATACTACCTGACATTGACGAGCAACGACTCACATACGGAGAGAAAGCTGTGCGTAGTGGCAAGTTCATACGCGGCACTCGATAAACACAAACACGGTCGATATACTTGTACAAGGCTGGCTCCGACTGTAGAAACGATTATTAGGGGTGACTGGCGCCGCTGGATACTGGATACTGTAGGGAATAAGCTGCAACGGACGTACGGGACAGGACAAAACAAATCGAGGGACACACTGTGGACGACAATACAGGATAGATGACAGACATATCATGTAACATGAATAGGCATGGCAGCAGTCAAGCACGGCTCACGAGCCAACGTCGCCAATGCGAGTGAGTGCGGCGCGCCGCTTTTTCTTCGGCGGCTCTTGGGCCTCCTCGCGGGGTGTCTCGCTCGGCTCGCGTGTCCCCAGCACGCTCTCGTCCACGCTCGGCGCAGGTGTCAGCGGCGGCTCCCCCTCCGCCTTCCGTTTGCTGCCCACTGTGGGTGTCAATACCGGCAGGTTAGCGGACACCCGCGATGGTGTTGAGA